ACCGATTCTACAGTAGCCCAAAAAAATTTTTTCGAAATTCCCCATTGAAGCCCCACTTTTGGCCCGCCACAACATCGCGCGCTAATGGAGATCCATTAGCTTTTTCGCGCTGCTTTCGCCACATCCGTTTACCGTTCGGCAACAGCTAATGGCCGGTAATGGAGGGTCGGTGACTCAGCCCTCCGGGCCCCTTCTCCCGTCCCGCCATTCCCTTCCCTCTTTACCCCTCCGGCACCCGCTTTCCTCTGCTTACCGTATCGTTCGTTACCGTTTTTGCCTTACCCTTTATTTATTTCTTTATTATTTCATATCTTTTCTTCTTTATTTCATTCTTTCATTCTTCTTTCAACATGCCCCTTACCCGTAATCTGGGGTACCTCAAGAGTCATGTGACAGTAGCTAATTCGTATTTCTCTAAGGTTCTTGAAGCTGCAGAGAAGGACCTCGTAGGCATTAAAACCCCTCCTCCCACTAAACCTGATGAGTGGGGGCCGTATTTCATCAAAGGACGCGCAGCCCTCAGTAGTGGTGCGATTACGCTCCAAGACGCACAAAATCAGTGCGAAAAACACTTAGAGGCCTTTGACCTCGCAGTAGCTGGCTTGACTGATGACCTCAAACGTAAAGACGCTGAGAAATTCCTCGAGGAACAAGTCGCGGAGTTTACAGCGTGCTTAAGTAGTGCTCTTCCACTTCTAGCCGAAATTAAAACCTTAATCCACAAGCTAGAATCTCAAAACGAGCGTGTCACTGCCGAAGCTCGACTGCGACCTGCCACTGGCGATGCCGAACCCCCGCTGTCCCAGGTATTTGAAAGTAGTCTTGAAAAATTGCGTCTCCTTAATCTTTCCAATCTCAGTAGCCCTAAATGGAGTGGCATTGCCGCTGATTTTGACTATTTCGTGGAAACATTTGACAGCCATTGTCTGCAACATCAGCTCACTGAAGTAGAAAAGCTTCGCGCATTCCGTGAAGCTCTGGCTGACACGCCAGATGAAATCATCACGAAAGCGTATCCGCTTAAACCGGGCTTTTTTGCCGATGCCTTTGCCCAGTTTAAAATGCGCTACAGTAGCAATGAGCAGAACGCTTTGCAACTCCATAGGGAATTGCATAGGCTAGCTCCTCTTACAGACTCCGATTCCGTCGTGGACCTCCGGCGTCAGTACCACCTGACGCTGGCTTTGGTCAATCGACTCAAACTAGTAGATCTCCATCATGACAATCAAGGGCTGCATTTTGTTCTCTTAGAAAAATTCCCTTCCTGGGTTCAGGAGAAACTCGCCCGGGCCCGGCTCCAGGCGCAGAATGACGGTACGGCATTTCGCTTAGTTGATTTTTTCTCTAAACTGAATGAGATTATTCTCTTCAAAGAAAATGAAGTAGCTCTTTTTCCCTCTTCCTCTAACCATTCTAGTAGGATCACGCGTATTCACCACGGCTCTATGTCCCATAGTAGCAGTCGGGACCACCGCCCCAGGAGCCGCTCTCGGAGCACCGGGCATCCTGCCTTTTGCCCTTTGTGCGACAGGGAGCATTCTCTGTTCGATTGTCGACGCTATCCGACACCTAAAGCCAAATTTGATTACCTCACTAGTAGAGATCGGTGTCCAAAATGTTTCAAATCCCATCTAGGTCAATGCCATCTTCGGGGGCAATGCCGTAATTGTGGTAGTTTTGCTCATTACGCAGTAGCCTGTTGCCGTCCTCCTCGGCGTTTCGATTCCTCCTCTCAATCTTCCTCTCGGGTCCTCGGGACTGACGCTGCCCGCCCCGGAGATCACAGTAGAACCCGAAGCGCTAGCCGCGATTCGTATGATAGTAGACGCGGAGATTCTTCTCGCCATCCTTCGTCTTCTTCGCGTCATTCCTCATATGATCGCGGTCGTAGTCGTTCTCCCTCCCCCTATGAGTCCCGTCATCGGAATTCCGCGGCCTATGCCCATTCCCCTACTCGGTCCCAGGATCGCCGCCCTCCGACGTCATCGGCGTCGTCGGATTGGCATAGTAGTCGCTCTCCTCAGCGCACGACCCAGTCTCAGCGCCCCAGTAGCAGTTCTCCGCGCCGGGACTCTTATTCCCAACCCTATCGTAGGGAGAGTCCTCGGCGCGAGTCCCGTAGCGTTTCCTTCCGCCAGAATGTCGCCTTATTTCAACACGGCGTCGGGTTGGCGGCCCGCCGCCTTCGCTCCAAGGATTCCCGAGGCAAGGCTTGGGCGGGTGGACCGTCCACGGCACCTCTCCCTACCACGCTTTCCGAAGAAGAAGTAGTCTCCGGTCTTGTTCAGAATCTTCTTCATAGCAAAAGATTTCTTATGAGCCTCCCAATCGAAGTTTATAGCCCAGTAGTCAAGTTATTCCAGACATGCAACCTTTTGCTCGATCCCGGTGCTGAAGCCTCCTTTTGCTCCCGCAAATTGCATAAGCGGCTTGGGCTCGCCACGCTGGCCGTCCAAGATCTCCAAATTATTGGCTTCGGTAACCGCGGCTATGAGACAGTTTCGGATGTGGTTCGGCTCATCTTCCGTAATCCTGCTGACCCATCCGTCTCTAAATCCATCGTCGTCTATTCACTTGACAGTGACTTAACGCGCACTTACTCTCCTCCCCAGCTTTCGGTGGAAGACCTTGAGTTGTTGCAATCACATCAATGGGACATCCTCCTGCCCGAGCCTTCCGTCGAACCTGACATCCTCATCGGGATTGACTTGTGGTGGAGCATGTTCCTTCCGCCATTTACCTTCCTGCATCTTCCTTCTGGCCTAGTAGCAGCAAAAACCCTTTTTGGAGTAGTCATTAGCGGGGCCCAAGATTCCCGGACGGTGCACCATTTCTGTCGCCCCTTGTGGGGAGAACAGAACTTCTTCTCCTCTGTAATCAAGGAGAAGTTCCCGAGCTGTTCGTGTAGTAACTTAGATTGTGTTATATCATATAGTTTGCTAGAGAAGTATTCTTCAACTACTAATTTATCTGCATCTATAAATCAACTCATCTTCCCCTTTATTAGATAAGTCATTAGATTTAGTCTACAGGCTTTTCCCCTTTATCTACTTGGTTAGAATATCCTACTGTAATGGTCAACTAGATGCGCTGAAAGAGCACATCTCTGCTCCTCCCTGGCCGCTCTATCGGAGGGCGGCTGACAGAGGGCGGAGCCACAGAGCAAGACGTGTAAGCTACTCGCGACCCACTTTAAGTGGGTCGATCTACTAGCGGAAGTGCCGTCGTCATGGCGGCACACTGTCATCGTCACTTTAATTTACGCCAATTTTATTCAAACTAATCAACTTTGTAAAAGCTTCAGGTCCGCCGAAAATATCAGCCAGAGAGGGAGCGCCGCCCCGAAACCCGTCGCGTCGACTCGGCCAATCACTCGCAGCCACCGCCGCAAGTCAATTCGGCCAAACAGTCCAGCCAGCAACAACATGGCACCTCGTCAAAACTGTCCAGCCAGCAACAGCGACCCGAGCCCGAGCCCAAGCAGATTACGTACGAATTCTCCTTTTTTCAAACAGTGGTTCTAGCATCCCCGAAATCCCCCCGTGCACGACACCGCCCCAGAATTACTCGCAAGAGAAAGTGGATGGTGAGCTGCTGCCCGTGGATAAGACGCAAAGCAGCTCGCGTCGATTGATCAAGGTGTGAGACAAAAAAAAATGGCCGAAACGGTCATCGATTTCTCTAGAATGGTTCGGGCAGCGCGAGGCACCCGAAGAATCCGGACGCGCCGCCGCGTATGCGAGAAGATTGGCGTCGCCCGCCGCCGAATGGCTCCGCCGATCCGGTGCCGTTCAGCGCCACCGACCAGCCGGCTCGCAGGTCAACCCGTCGCCTGCCCGCTCACCATTTGCGCGTTGATGTCGATGAGGTGTGCAGAGAGTTAAACGTTTGCTAAGGTACCATTGAACGTACTCCATAGCCGACCGATATTTCAACTTTTCCATCTCAATTTACAAGTTTTTAGTTGCTAAGTTACAAGTCTTTGCAGTTTACCCTCCCCCCCAGCTGGCACCCAACTTTTGTATCTCGGCTCCCTGTTCATCTACAGGTGTGCAAAGTATACCAAAATGTTCGTCTTGCTCTGGCGAGTATTTTGGTATACTTTACACACTATGTAGGTGAACTGTAGATGAACATGAGCCGAGTTACGGTAGGTGGGGGTCGGCTGGACTGCACTTAAGCCAACCAGCGAAACATTTGCTGAATTTAATATGTTTAGAGGAGAGGCCATATTTAAAGTCACAACCGGCTAACGGCGTCAACTCGAATCTGACCTAGATTCTGAACGTCGGCCGCAAGATGAGGCTCAAGAAGGAGATCGGTCCAGACCGACAGGTTCATCATCTGACCTATCCTTTAATCCGGGTTGTTCAGAAGGCGTTCGAATGGCTGTCACTTCACCGTGGCGGTGACCGGGAGAACGGCCCTGAATTTGCTGCAAATCTTCGGCGAGCCGTCGGTGATATCATCATTGCCAAGTGCGTTTTCCGACCTGTTGCTCAGGCTCTCCAAAATTCAGGGAGCTGCTCCCGAAGGTGGCCCGGGAGTTGGTGGAGCACTCAGTGTTCAGCGGAGAAGACGCACGCATCTTCCTCGAACAGCTCAATCAATACAAGGTAGCCGTCAAAGCTGCCGGGCAAATAACTGCCTCCTCCCGCTTTAGGAGGTGTCGATCAATCTGATGGCCCAAACCCTTCGCCACACCCGCAAGCAGCAGCGCGCCAACCATTGAACCCCAATTAACGACATCGATTAAATCGAAAATTATCACTCCAAATTTCTGTGAAGATGTGCAATAACCTTTTTATCATCCGTGAATAAATAATTTTATCAGCCTCGTCTTCCCCGCGAATCCTTTCCCCCAACATTTCATGGACTGTTGGAGATACAGTTCTCGATCGAGGCGAACCACGAAATTCAACAAATTTATAAGCCGGCCAACAACAAAAAACAACTGAAAATCAACGATAATTCGATAAACAACTCGGTGGAATAATTCAGCTCCTCTTCTGCTTTCCACCCTTCATGTGCTGCCGTTTGGCCGTTCGGAAGCCGGCGTCTTCTGGCCTGCAATGAATGGAATATGTATTGCAAGAAAAGCACTGACCCAGCCCTTGCAGCCTTGACACCCCGCTTGCTGATGCCGGCCAGTTCCGTAGTAAACGACGATTTCTTCACCTTGCCACCCTTCGTCTTGTTCAGCTTGCCTTGTTTGCCCTAAAATTTTGATCACAAGGGTATGATTGTGCCACCTGATTATCATTATCGGCCAAGGCACGCATTCGCTTGCCCTTGCGCTGCCGTTTCGCCATGCGCGCCTGGAACGCCTGGGCACGATCGGCCTGCTTCTCCTCTCCCTAAAATGTTGAGTCCCATCACACAAACATCTATTCAAACCGTTTTCTCCGTTTTCTTCTTCTTAGCTTCTAACTCCTTGAGTTTGCGCTTATCCTCTTTCTTGCGTAGCTTTTCTGGAAAATATTCTTAACACAAAACAGCAAGGCCAAGAACTCACCAGCATCTGTAGGCTGCTTGATCCAGTTCCTGCCGTCGCGATCAGCCTTTCCATGCTCCACACGCTCTTCTGTGCGCTTCAAATCAGCCTCAGCAATACGAATCGAACGTTCGGTCTGTAAAACTCGGAAATGAAGCTTGAAAGGTAATCCCTACCCTTTCATCCTCTTCAATCTTTGCCACCGATCCTTCGAGGTCATCAACGCGTCCCTTGTAAGCGGCGATGACTTCTAAATCAAATACTGTGACCTAGAGGACGTGCAGCTGACCTGGGGCCACGACACGCTGCTTCAGCAGCTTGTCCTGATTGTGGGCGAGGATCTCCTTGAACAACTTCCGGTCCTCCTCCCCAACGAGCGAGATCGAACGACCAGCTTTTCCGGCACGAGCCGTACGACCAACACGATGGATGTACTGCTTGATGTTGTTCGGCATGTTCATGTTGATCACCTAAAAATGAGATTGGAAGCGGCAGGATATCGCTTACAGTCTGAACGCCCTCAATATCCAAACCACGAGCGGCCAAGTCGGTTGAAACCAACACATCGAGCTAAAAGGTTGGTAGGGGGGTGCTAATGAAGTGCTACCTCTCTGCGCTTGAACTTGGCCAACGCGTCGATACGTTGCGACTGGGTCAAACTGCTGTGCATCTGGCCCACTTTCACGCCGAGTAGCCCGAGTACGATTTGCAACCGTTGACAGTAGCGTTTTGTTTTGACGAAGATCATCGTTTGTTCCTAAATTATACGTATGTTATTAAATGAAAATTCGATACCTGGAAAGTTCTCGTTACCAGCCCAGCCACAATCGGCTCCCGGTCTTCCTCGCGATTTCCCCGGATCCGAATGAATTCTTGTCTAAAATAAACTAGTCTTGGTAAAAATCAGACTATTACCGTAGTCGCAGCGCCGTCTCAGTGTTCTCATTGATGAAAATCTTGACGGGTTTCTTCAGCGACATGTCGGCTAGATGTTCGATTTGGTCAGTCATCGTGGCCGAGAAGAGAAGCGTCTGGCGCTTGCTGGCGCACAGGCGGATGATTTCTTTCATCTGCTCCTCGAAAGCCTGTTCGAGCATCCGGTCGGCTTCGTCAAGCACCAACACCTAAAAATGTCAGAGGGTCACAACGATGGTCAAAACCCGTCCGAAAATCATTTATCGGAAAAGCGAAAAATTTGGATGCCAACGCGCACAAAATTTTCGGGAAACTGTTTTTGGAAAGCGCTTCCGTTTTAACCCAAAATACCTCGATTGTCGCCAGCGTGAACGAAGGAGCATTGTGGAGATGGTCGAGAAGTCGACCAGGCGTTGCCACAACGATATCCGGCCCAAGACGGAGTGCAGCCTCCTGTGCCTTCAGATCGAGACCTCCTGAAAACGGTCTCTTTGAAGAGAGCGATCAATAGCATGCCCGTCCACAATCACCCATTGTGCCTAGCAACTTTATTGAAAACCGGCATAAAAGCGGGCCGTGCCGTCCCCATCCACATCCCCCATCAAAGTCAACATTTCGTCGAATTTGCGCCCACTCAGCTTTCTGCTATGGCAATTCCCCCTTTCCCAACATAGATTTTTTAGCTTAAAAAATTCTGAATAGAGATTTTTTTTTCAGCTGGAAATAGATTTTTGCAAGAAGACTCTGCTCGTCCGAAAGAGCTAGAAATTTGCGACAACTCTCACATATAAGAAAAAAACTATTGCCAGGTTACTGTACTCGAGAACATTATTTAGTTTTGGTTTTTTCTAATTAAAAAATTACGTTAATATGCTTCAGAATTTTTCTTGCGTGTGAGCTATGTTTTATCGCAAATTTCCCATTGGCCCCAGTCCATATAAGTAAAAAAACCAGACGGGCAAGCGTCTTCAAATTTCAGCAACATGGCCACGAATTCCGCATTGCAAATATCCCCGTAAAAACCGTTCCGGGTCTGGGCGAAAAAGCGGCGGCACAGACACGAGTCGACTCTTCGTGCCACCGGACTAGTGGGCTCATTGTGGTTGACGAGCAGCAGCCGTTTGCTCATCTGCCGCGTGGGAGATCGGCCGGGCCCGCGGTCCCCTCCATAATTGGCAGATTCGACGTTCGAGCCATCCGGAGCTTTCCTTGTGAATGTCAAATTTCGAAAATATGGCATCTGAGAGGGGGTTTTTCGAAGCTTACTCTCTCCCCAACTCGCTGCCCCTATTCCAGTTCTTGACCATTTCAAGTAGCCCTCGCAATTCCCTTTCTTTCGCCCCGACCCTAGGAAATGAGCGCTAGCCCATCCATATTCATTTCACGTTTACTTTTTGAGAACTTATTTAAAAATTGTCTTAAATCAATCTAGCCGATCGTCATTATGCTTCGGAAAGCGAGATCACGGATCGAAGTGGCCCTACTGTTTGCGTCGGGCTTTTATCATACGGCTGACCAATGGACACGCGTTTTGCTCCCGTTCTTTCAGGTAATAACTGATGAGGTTTAATGGTCAGTCTGAATCAACAAGAACATATTTTTAGTGGCAACTGCTACCGCCTGGCGATTTCCAAGTTGTGGTCAAAGTCACGTCTATGGGGGCAATTTCAACGGGCCTTGGAAGTTTCCTAGTCGCTCAAATGGTGGGTTTTTAGGGCGCAAGTTCAGACAGTACTACGTATGCACCTATTTACGCAGGGGAGACTGAGGCAAAGGATAGCGATAGAGAGATAGAGATAGAGAGATAGAGAGAGAGAGAGATGGTTACTTACATAGAGACGCAGTAGTTTATAGTTGTCGACGTACGCTTAAAAAAAAGAAGTTATGGACCAAAAATTTCGAAACACTTATTTAGATCGAAGCATTGGGGGTTCGAAAAACGGCCATCATCATCACTTTAATGACGGCACTCTATCAATTCCTCATAACCCAAGTGACAAGCCTCTATGGTTTTGTCGCCGTGCAAATGTTGCTCGTCTTCAATAACCTGTCGGTCGCGATTGATGCCATGGTATGCCAGGTGGGTACGAAAACATCGTTCCACATCGAAAATAACTTTAGATGGAAGGCGAGGACGGCGATGACAAAAAACGCAAAATATTGATCTCGAGGCTCGCGATTCCGCAAAGTATAGCTTACGCGCTGGGGCCATATTTAGCACTGCAGGTAATCTTTAAAAAAAATGTTATAATAAAACGGAATCTAGACAATGTTTCTGATCACTGCTCATATTGGTGTCTGCCAAACGATGAACGTTGTGATGCACTTGTGCACGGTTCTGCCGCTCATCTGCTTTGCATTTCCGGAGCATGAAAACCGTAAGGGAACCTAACAAAAAAAAAAGAAAAAATTTAGCGCGAGGGTTCAAGCTTGCGCTTCCATCAATTGGTAGCTATTTCGAGTTGATCAAAAATGAGAGAACTGCGCTTTGCATGGGTCTACTGCTGGTAGGTATTAAAGAGATACCCTAATCGGTGATTACTCTAGGCAGTCGTGGGGCCATATCAAGCTTATGATCAAGTAATTCGGGCCATGCTAACGGGTGCTATTGTCCGGAATCCAACAAGCATGATTTATGTGGTAAGTTCTAGCTTTCTAATTGTCGCGCTTTATGTGGTAGAAAAGACGCGAGGATTGGCAAGGGCCATGAACATAAAAATCCCTTCAGTTTCTGGTCCTCGGCGGTACAACATTGGCCGTAAATCTGTGGCTCTACCCCTGGTTGCAAACTAAATTCAAGCCACAGCAAGTAAGCTAGTATTGTGGTCGAAAATAAACGATTCTAGCTCCTGGCTGGCTCATTTTCGGTGCTCACTATCTCGTACATCCACCTGAGCTTCAGCAACGACGACCATTATTACAATCTGCTACTCGGGCTTTGTATCCAAGTAGCTCTGGTCGCCGTCTCTGTTGGAGAACTGTCCTCACAGATCCTGTCCACCGTCAGCAAGAAAAACGCGGGAAAAGTGGGCGTAATTTTAAGCTTCATAAAAACCAAAATTCCAGGTTGCTGCACTATTGCGCAGCGTGCATTTGCTGGGCGCAGGATTGACACCGCTCGTCGCGGGGATGCTGGTCGACAAAAATGACTACGCAAAGTTGTGCTACTGCGGAGCTTTGATTTCTCTACTGGCCATACCCGCCGTCACGCGCTTCGGCAAATTCATGAGGTCACAACCGGCCTTTTTGCCCATGACCGGCATCACACTAAATACGGTACCCAAGCTCGATTAGTTGTTTTAGTGCCAAGTTGAATTTATGGAGGAATAAAGATAATTATGAATTCTTAGAGCGTGGTACACACAGCTACCCTATGACAAGTTGTTGCTAGCTCGTATGGAGATTACGATATAGCTAATTCGATAAAACTTGAATTACTGGAAAAATCCCTTGTTTTAAAAACCGCTAAACACTAACTTTGGATAAATTTGGCTCTGAAGCGGCCTGTTTTGCATATTTTTATTTCCGCTTCACATAAAACATGATCTTTTAGAGCCTTTTCTCAGATATCGTTAAGATTATTCAGCTGTTTTTGAAAGCTGGCTTCTTCAGAATTTCAAGCACCATCGAATGATCTTGAACGTCGCAAAATAAATTCCCTAAAAACCATTCCTTGTTAGAGCCGTAATAAGCCTTGCTTCAAAACCCTATAAGTTCCACAGAAGTTCTTAATCCCCCAAAATGCAACTGATCTCCCCAGGCATTCCAACCACCAGTCGGCACTTCCAAAAATACCTCTGCGGTGTGGTGTCGGGCAACCGGGGGGATAGGGACGAATTCACGTTTTCGGGATGGCGCAAGAACCGGTCCGGAGTGGGCGGGTGAGCGCGAGAGAAGGGGGATGTCTTGTATACGTTGCGCGCGCGGGGTGAAGGGGTGGGCTGGTGGTGTGGAGGAGAGTGTGGGATGGGCAGCGCGGAGAGAATGGGTTCCGCGCTGAAGGGGGGAAGGGGAGGAAGGACTCCCCCGCCTGTATCTATCTTCCATCGGACGACCGGGGGATGCCGCCGGCAGCGCCGATTGCGCAGCTCGCCTATCCGTCGACTTGGATCCAAGTCACCCCCCGACCTTCACTATCCAGTCTTTCAATGTTATTTGATAAATCACGCTATTTTTTGGGTGTCCGTTACATGGTCCTGATCTCAAAATGCCTCTACAGCTTCTTTGTTTTTTTCTAGAACAAGAAGTCAATTTTTAGGTGATAATGGAGGGCTTCGATGACAGAACTTGAAATTCTGCGCAATTCCGAACTTTAGAAACTGCTGGTTTTCCACAAAAAGGGAGTAAAATTGATGTTTTTGAAGGAAACCTAGGCAAAATTGCCTAAGATCTTTATCGTTTAGCAGCATTGTAAAAATTGTACTTTTACAGAATTGAAGCCTCTATCGGATCGGATTAACTAGTTTTATCCGACCGAAAAAATTATCACCTAAAAAGACGATTATACTTTTACTTTCCAACTATTGCCCCGGCTATTAAATCCGGACCTAATTCTAAAACTCTTTAGCGTCATCTCGCCAAGATGTCCCTCGAAAGAAGCAACGTGTTATGCTCGTGCTATGCCTTATATTTGGCATCTGGCACATGGGCACCCAGTGGACAACCACGCTACTTTCATTCTTGCAATGGGACACCGACGAAGTGATGACCATCGTCGATCTCGGCTATATTCAAGCTTTCGGATCGCTGTGCAACGCAGTCGGAGCACTGGCATTCGGCCAGATTGCCGACAGCACCGGGGCCAAGACCATGTTTATGGTCTCCTGCGTCCCTGACCTGCATTTATTATTGCGGGATTTCGATGGCTCGAAGCTGGTATGCGTTCTTCTTCCTCCAGGTATGCACCTGCACTAGATCCTCATCTTAGAAAACATTCAGATCTTCCGGTTTGGATACCAGTTGGATGGCACCGCCGAGATGTACCTTGCCACCGTCACCACGGAGGGCGAGCGTACTGGTGCGCTGATGAAGCTGACCATGCCCCAGGTAGCCAAACACCGCGCATAAAGTATACTTAAAAAATCCTAGGCAGCCGCTATGTTCTTCGGACCGATCCTCGGCTCGAAGATTGCCGCCTTCACCTCGCTGCGCATTTCGCAGTTTGTCTGCGGGTGCTTTGTACTGGTCGCCCTGATGCCGGTGCTTACGTTCATGCTGCCCACCACCCATTCGATTCCCCGGCTTGCTTCTGCCAAACTTAGACCCCAGGACTATTTCCACATGATCAGGTAGGGCAAAATAAGATTTCACGAGAAATTTCGGCCCAAAATCTAAGGTTGAACAACTCAAGATTTAAAAATACCGAGGCTAAATTTTGATAGCTTGTGACCATACGGCCCCGACTAAACAAGAAATCGTTTGAAAAATATATAAAGGCTAATAATCTCTTAAAAGCAAGGTTTTGGGTCATTGGCGTCTAAATAAATTAAATAAGGCTATTTCCTAAATCCTGAATTAATAAAATAAGTCTAAATAAATTCCCAAACGGATTGAAATTTACATATTTTTACCTTAAACTCTTCAATTAAAGTTACCTTCTAATCCGGAAACAATTCCCTAAATCCTGAATTCAGACAAAACGTCCACCTCCGCGAGGGACTGATCGTGAGAGCATGCGTGGTGGCTGCCTACGTTTGCTACGAGATGATTGCCAGGAACTTTTGCTCCGCGCTTACATGAAGGACACCAATGACTCGGCCTATGTCCTGCTCGTCATGGCTGCCGCCCTGCTCGCCGTGCAGTTTATTTTCCTGCCCATCCTGCAGCGAAAAAGCCAACCCAAAACCCTGCTCCAGGTTCGCGTGGCCTTGGGCGCGAGGATAACCGAGGGCTCTTTCAGATCGCGCTGATCGGGCTTCGTCTCTTATGCCTCAGCTAGTTTCACCACATCCTTTGAGCAACTCCTAGTGATTACCGCCGTGCAGACGGGCTGCTACGCAGTCGCGTATGCGGAGACTTCGACTCAAATCACCAGGTCGGTTGCCCTTCCGGATGCTGTGTGTGAAAGGGGGGCTGCCCCCGTATAGTGCGCTCGCAAAACCAATACTGTGCCGTTTTCCTCGCCAGGAAGGCAGCCGATCGCAAAAGGGAGACAGGGTCTGCCCCGCCTGACCGGACCCCTGGCAGGCAGGACAAACCCGTTTCTGGGGGTCGCGCTTTCCTAGAGCCAAGAATCGATTATCCTATCGGCTATACAAAAACTTCAAATCCGGGATGTAGATAAGACAAAAATAGAAATTAAGGTTTAAAGGACTAAAGGAAGGAGTATAGCACACGTTCAGGTGGTTGGACGTATGCACCCATGAACAACTGCGTCTCTATTTCGCTCGTTTTCTCAGTGCCCGCGTAAACAGCTATATACGTAGTAATAGTAGAGCATACGCTTGAAATCAGTGCCCTACGATCATATTAGAGAGAGCGAAAAATAGTGCGTAATAAACGTAACCCGCCATTTTCAGCGCCGTCGAACGCACCGACCTAGGAAAAGCCACTGGCCTGGCATCAATGTGCCAATGGCTAACCCACTTCATTCTACCAATCTACGCGTCGCACTTGGTGCAGCACTACCACTATACGTACGCCTTCTACACTTCGGCCGTGATCACCACCGGCACCCTCAGCTACGTGACCTTTGTCGTGCGCAATGCCAATAACCGTGTCCAAACCCTCCTACCTTCCTTGGCTTATTAGACACTTCTCAAATTTTTGCGGTGGTCTCTATCTCGCCCCTCCCTGCCCCTCACGCTCTCCTCTCCCTCTCTCTCCAGCAGAGCCACCAACAGACGGTCAAACTTTGCGGCTCAAGACCCTTTTTCTGTGCATAGACGACGGGTTTCACTTCCGTGAAGTGCTATTTATTGTCAACGGGATCTCATCCCGATGTTGACAAGTTTTGAAGATAAAATTGCGCCTTAAACCTACGCAAAAATAAAAAAAACTTAGCAAACTCTTGATAAAAACGACGCAACTTACCAGCGCACAGACAAACATCCGGCGGATGCGGCAAATTGACGGAGAGCTTGCGGAATACTTGGAAGACTTGGATGGCCAATTCACGAGTAGGCACGAGGACGAGGACTCTATAAAAATCGTCAGCTTTAAAAAATTCCATTGATATCTCTACTCCGGCTTTAAAAATAGAGCTACCTGGTAATGGAGCGCTGGGACGGGCGATATAACAGCCTTTCGAGGATTGGAAGAGCAAAAGCTGCCGTCTTGCCTGTACCTGTCGCCGAACAAGCGCCTGAACGACAAATGAGAAATCAATTGTAGCCCTACAAATGTCCTTTCCAGCCAATCCCACAGGAATACAAGCTTCTTGAATTGGAGTCGGTTCCGTGTACCCAGCCGAGCCGATAGACTGAAAGGGGGGTAATATATGAATCAATTTCAACTCTACTTTCAATATCGGTCTGCTCAAGTTCATTTGATCAAATGAAAGCCGGTCCTCATCCTTTGTAGCCTTCAACTCTTCGAAGAAATCCATTTCCACCTTGCTCTTCTTGCCCTTTCCCTTTTTGTCCTTCAATTTCAGGGCATCTAAATGCCAGTGTGGATTGACAAGCATCAGCCCTACCTCTAGCATCCTTGCCAAGTTGCTCAATCTCCTGATCAGGATTCTCGGTCCCAAGCGACATCTGATTTTTTTTTGCAAAACTAGTCTCAAAGCAAACCTTCATTTCTTCCCCGGTGCTCTTTCGTTTCCGTTCGGCCGCAATCTTTTCTTCAAGGGTCGAAGTTGGCGTCTTTTTCAGGTATCTAAACAGAATTAGGCCGATTTGAAAAGGACGCACTTCTTCAAATCCTGATTTTCTCTGTCGGCATCATTTGTGCCACCGAACATGTCAAATTGAAACGAGGCCGCAAATTCCGTTGCAGCACCGGCAACTTTACGCTTCTTACGAACATGAAGGGCCTGAAAATTTGTGAATGATCAAGCAGGACCCGTACGAATAGAACACTTTTTAGGAAAGCCTAAAAAACCACCTCTTCCTCCTCGAGATCACTGTCCTCTTCCTCCTCAAGAGGATCCGCCTCGGCATCACTATCCAAAATGGCGGCCGGATAGAGGTCAACCATCTAAAATAAAGATATCGATAATACTCGAGAACTAGGTTATCGATATGTGGCGCGTCGTCAAGCCAAAAACCAAGGCAACAACAATTTCTCAACGGTTTATTCGAAGAAAAGCGAGTACCGGTACAATGTGCAACATGTGAGATCTGTTAAAAATAACAAAAGGACGGGGACTCAAAAGAGGGGGTAAAACAATTGGTGTCTAGCCGACAGGATACAAATCTTGAGCAATCGAGTCCTGGACGAAGAGACTGCTGGAGTAGTTGCCGATCGGAGTGAACAGCACCACCATCGCGTTCAAGCAGTCGGTTTGGATACATAAGTCTGGAAATAAGGGAATAACGGATCAGCAAGGATATATCGAATCTGAAGTGTGACCGTATACCGTTGCGGGCCATCATTTTCCAAAATAACTTTTTCGAAGAGGCCTATTTTCGACGATCACTTTCAAGATGGCGGTTTTAGGATTAGTAATATAAAGCAGCAAAACAAAATGCAAAGGTCTGATTTAGAACGTATCATTTTGAAAAACGGTAACGTATGGAATCGTATAAGGCCCCTGCTTACTTTTTGGTAAAATCGAAGCAAATTCAGCTTTGTACCCGCCTCGTTGCTGGTCGGTCGAATCACGGTACCAATCTAAAAATTCTAATAATCCATCGGAAGTGGACGTACCTTCCATTTCTGGTGGCTTGAGCGCAAGGCGTAAAATATTCCCACCTAAAGAAATTTGAAACATTTGGATGCGACACTACCGCACAATCCTGCAAACTGCACTGGTTGGGGACCTGATACTGGCAAGGACAGTGTGCAACTTTCGAGACAGAAGAAAGTCTATAAAAATTGATTTGGTGGGAACGAGAAATGGCTTAATGGCAAAGTCTGTAGTGGCAGTGAGCGTTATCGATAGGCGCCATCGATGACGGGAGGCATCACCCAGCCACCGATTGAGGTAGGTAGGATTCGCAGTGTATTCATCTGGAAGGTCAGAGGTTGGAACGAAGGCTATGTCGCCGAGATTTGGGAAGGCTGGGCTAAATCCGGAGATAGCAACATTCAGCTCACAGTCATTGTAGGTCTGGCCTGAACGGCTTTGGGAGGAGGGTCTGGGTCCTCAAGGTCAGAGTCGATGAAGTTCGCCGAGATTCAGAATTAGCGGAAGGCTTTTGCAAGTTATCTCGCATAGAAGGCTGTTTGCATATACTTTAACGCCAATCGATACGCGAGCAGATACTGATAGATGTCGGAGATCATCAGGGCCTGACGGTGGCCGAGATATGGGCCTCTCGAGATGGTCCATTCTCTTAGAACTTTTCCCAAAATCCCATACATTTCTTCAAAATCCTCTCCGCTAGTCCAAAAATAAAGCGGTAATTTTGCACCTGTCCGTCCATGTTTGGAAATGTATGGGATCTTAAGAAAAGTTCTAAGAAATGGGCCAAATTTCAAGAGGCCATATCTCGGCCATCCAGTGTCCAATTTTGATGATCTCAACATCTATCAATATCTACTCCTTGAGAGCTATCGATTGGCGTTAAAGGTATCGCATGCAAATTGCTCTATGCAGAGATAACTTGCAAAAACACTTTCTCGTAATTTTCGAAAATCTTCTTGGGCCTGTATCTCGGCCGTGCTTGATTTTGAGGACCCAGGACCCTCCTCCCAAAACCGTTCAGGCCGAGACCTACAAAATGACATATCGCATGTGCAGAATGGAGCTATCTACGAATTTAGCCAGCCTTCCAAAATCTCGGCGACAGAACTTTCGTTCCAACCTGATACATATTCGTAATCTTGCTAAAGCTTATGGCGAGAGAGAGAGGGGGGGATGCTTCAGCTTACCTGCGTGATCGGAAACACTGCATTCGCCGAAACAACGCCGATATCGATGTTGACACGACTGCTCGCAGACAAGTCGAACCCGAATAATTTCAAGAGACTGGGAATAGATTAGCAACTAAGCGCACAATAAGCTTACGGGCTGGGCAGCACTGAACCAGCCGGCTTTGGCACGCGCTTGTGATCATTTGAGCTCGAAGATGGGACCGGCCGTTTGATCGCCGTCGAAGGTGGCTCGCTCCTCATCATTGGTGCTACCCGGTTGGCTGGTGAGCCAACTGCACCAGTCCGCACACCCATATTTCGAACCTTACAACAGATACTACTCAAGGGCTATATGCACACAGTACCTGCTGGGGGGCGGCATTTGCGGTGAGACTGGCTTTCTTCAACTTCGCCACCTCCTCGGCCAAAACAGGAATCCGCTGCATATACACGTTTCGCTGGAAAAGCAAAAAGTAATAAGAAACGAGGTAGGCAACACCTGCTGCACCAATTCATCGTTCCTTTGCACGTGCAGGGCGATTCGACGTTGTAGGTCTTCGATCAACTTATCCTGGGTTTCCACTTTTTTCTCCAAACTAAAAGAAGTTCAATAAAAACGTTCAAACGTACGCCTGCACGTATTGTCGTCCTTGCTGTACGAAGTGTCGTTCCATGCGCTAAAAAGGGTCTTAAATTTTGCACGAAAAATGTTCATCCCCAAAGGGCAGACAACCTACTCTGTATAATTCACGTGGTCTCATGCCAAGTCCAACGGATACGCGCTCCAGCGGATCTGTTGGATCCTAAAAACCAGATAAAATCACATCGCAGAAATACCGCAACGGGTTCCGGGACCTCAGCTTGCGTCAAGCTCGGCGTTGGTTCGAGCGCGGCGGCATCCTCGTCCAAAACTATTACGTCTTCGTCCTAAAAACATGGATATGCCAATGAAAAATCAATGCTTACGAGAAGCTCATTTTCAAGGTCCACAACGTCAGCGGACTCCGTTTTCGTAATTTTGCACTCTTCGTCATTTTGAGACGACTCAACTTTGACCATTGTATCAAGGCTGCTTGTTTCCAGGCGGGCCACCTGATCCACAATTGCATGCAAAACCTACAGGAAAATGACGAAATGGACTTGCGATGACAATACCTTAGCGATCGTATCGACGTCATTTTCGGGTTTTCTGTTGATTTCATGCATACTGGTCGATGGCTCTTCCGCATCGAATAAACCCTCCTTTGCCGGCACGCTGTCGCGGGCGGAATTACTATCGGCGTCTAGATATACCAAATCTCCATTGATCGAGGTTTTTTGCGGCAGGGATATTTCTAAACTCAGACTGTTGAAAAGAACGCATGGACAAACCAGCGCAATTTTTTGGGGTTACAGAGCGGCTTGGTGAGCAGGGAATAACATCGAGTTCTGCGGACTCCTGAAAATTAAATATTCCAGAGATAGCGACAAAATCACCTCGGGCATTTCGACGTCGTCGATAGGTCCATCATTAAGCAGGTCATCCTAAAAATTTGTTCACATTGGAAAAGTAGCGTTACTATATCAGCCTCATCGATATTTGCGTGGCCGTCGATATCGGTATATTCATCCAGAAGCTTGTTCACCGTGGATTCTGGAAAGAAAGCGCTCTCGAACATGCAAGAAATGTACCTTCGATGCCCGACGATTCCTCAACAACCTCCATATTTTCAGCCTTTCCTACGGCATTGGTATAGTCGTCGAGAAGTTTGTCCGTTTCCATTATTTCGGCTTCTGTTAAAAGCGCGATGCGAATAAACAAAAAAAACCTTACCATCAAAAGTCGGAGGTTCACCAGCAATTCGCATGCTTTGTGCGGGGAAAAGTGACCCTGAAATTACGCTGGATAATATAAGGCAAGCGGCTAAAAGGTGGGAGGCGATCGTGGAAGGAAGCCAAGGTGTAGCATGTAGCTGGGGTAGGGGCCTCGGCCAGAGGGAAGTTCCGGACCCTTTTGATACTGGTTCTGCTAACAGGTGTCTTTGATAGAGATTTATTAATGTGTAAAAAATACACCAGCACGGCTAATAACATTCTTCGAATATCGACTGCAAAACACCAGAAAATCACAGTAAATGCGTCTCACAAAAACGTCAACTCAAATGCTAGACAACCTCTTATGGATCTTTCTAAAATTAATGGAATGTAAGGCAAAGTACTTTTATTATTCTTGTTCCAGCTCGACGAGGACACCGCCGCAATCTTTCGGGTGCAAGAAGACAACGGGCTTATTATGCGCGCCAATTTTGGTCTTTTCTGTCAGCGGTCGGATGCCAAGTTCCCTAAAGACATTTCAGCGATAAGACTTCGGCTTACTTGACACTCTTCAAAGCTTTTTCGATGTCCTTGACTTCAATGCAGATGTGATGCATACCGCCGTCTTTGTTCTTGTTCAAGAACGCCTAAAAATCGGAGTAGAAGAGGTTTCAAGCTGCAAGTGTTGAGACGGCTAGACCTACCTGGATAGGGCTTTTCTCGCCCAGTGGAGACAGCAGCTCCAGCTTAGTATTGGGAAGCTCCACGAAAACTGTGTAGACGCCATGCTCAGGTTGCGGCTGAAATAAACGTAAACATGACACTGATTATCTCACCATAGCGTCACTGACTTTGGCGCCAAGGTCCTTGTAAAATTTAGTGGCCTTTTCTAAATTATTCGTCGCGATGGCGACGTGGTTGAGACGACCAAGCATTCCAGCCAGTGGATGAGAAGCCATTCCCCAAAAAATAGGGTTGATATAGTTTCAAAAAACCAACTCGTGAAGTCACCGTGGCTGCTCCCTTCATCGCCGGGATCAAACCTCGCAGGAAGCTCATCTTTTCCTAAAAAAAGTTTATGCCCGTAAACGCGTTCTAATTGGCATTATCAGAACAATCGAAAAAAAAGTCTCTATACAACCGTAAAAATGAGCAATCACAATTAGCGAAAAATCACAACCCGAAAAACGTGCGTATCATCTTCTCAGCGGCCAAACCTGGTGTGCTCTCACCGCGCAACACTTCATTTTCTAGCTTTGGCACCATTGCCACGATTCTCGGATGCTTTCGAAAAGCGCTCATGATTTCGTCCTTCACGTGGCTCCACATCCATTTCGTCAATTGATTATCCCTTCGTGTTTCCAAAAACCCGGTTTCCGCCACGTGTTTCCAGAAGTCGTACATCTCATCACAAACCTTTGCTATCGACTCGGGCTTTGTAATTGACGAGCGTAGTACTCTTGGTTTCCAGTCTGGCACTTGGGGCCTCATAAATTTCAGCGCGGAAATGTATTCAGCCTGCGTAATCTTGGCTTTGCCTGCCAAGTCGCCATCGTCCTTGGTGACGACAATTAAATCGGCCAATTCCATTATTCCTCGTTTGACGCCCTGAAGTTCGTCGCCATGTGCTGGCGAAAGTAGAAGGCAAAACATGTCGCACATATCCGCGGCCGCATACTCTGACTGGCCGACGCCGACGGTCTCGATGATGACCACATCATAGCCCGCGCCCTCGCAAAGAATAATGGCTTCATGAATCCCGCGGGTGACGCCGCCCAAGGAACCGGAGGTCGGTGATTGTCTGATGTAGGCTTTTGGGTGACGTGAAAGCTCTTGCATCCTTGTTAGATCACCCAAGACAGAGCCTCCCGTCATTGCACTTGACGGATCTATGGTTAGCACCGCCACTTTCTTGCCTCGCTTTTCAATCAGCTCCATGCCAAGCGCGTCGATAAATGACGATTTTCCGACACCAGGGCTGCCCGAGATAGCGATCCTATAAATCATCGAGTCTTTTCCGAACTTTTCATGCTTTTCGCGCTCCTGCTGGAGCAATGCCTGCAGCACGAAATTCCCTTGCGCTCGTTTATGCAAGTTCTTTGATTCAACCAGGGTGATTGCCGATGCAAGGGCCGCCCGTTTTCCCGCCGAGATATCGATAAGAAGTCGCTGCACTAACGGATCATCTGGGGAAATGTCGTGTTCAAAGTGTAGTCTGCGATATTCGGAGAGGAGGCCTTCAAAGGGCATCTTGTCGACTCCCCGGACGGATAAGGGATGATGTGTGTCGTGCTTGCATATCGTCTCGAAGAAATAGTGTTGATTCCCGTGGAGCATCTTCTTATCGCCTTCATAAGAGAAATTAAAATAGGATTGGTATACAAAACGACAACTTTTGTTGGTGTTTTTCTTTCAAGTACATTTTTGCTTTGACTACGCGCCGTTGCTAACGACGTATTTTGGAGGGCGTAACGGATCAATGCACGGCCCGATTCGCTTACCACATGAATGAGCTTGATTTTTTAGTTTTCCCCGGCTGTAGAATTTATTCCAAACTTCGGAATAAATGTTTGCAATTATGACGCTGATGCTCTCCCTTTATAGATGGCAGATCCAGCCGAGCACGATGGGCTGGACCTCGCTGAGCTCAACCCGAGCCCCGAGGTGTACCAGCAACTCCTTGCCTTCTTGCGTAAAAACAACATGACGGTACACCTATTTTCCGGATCAAATAAGGTCTAACGGTTCCAGCAAACGGAAGAAATCTTCGCGAAAGAGGTCGGCTTGGCAGGCAGCGGCCAAAGCGGGGCGTTCACAAAGTACGTTCTAAAACAATAGGCCTGACGGTATTTTAGTGAGAATGTAGCTTCGGACTTTGCTTCTTTTATCAAGAACGTTGAGGGCGCGTATGATGTGCTGCAGGTTTTTTTAATCATTAGTATATACCCAGTTTAGGCGGAACTTTCTCTTTTCCTGTATCCAGTGTTCGTACACTCATATCTCAGGCTGCTAGGTGATGTATCTCCAGTCGCAGGTTCTTATTTTTTGTCTATAATTTATGGATCATTATTTCAGCAAAACAATTCTTTGAACGGTTTCGATGCCGGATTCCGAGAGCCTACGAAGAGCCACTCATCCAGCTGTCCAGGATCACCACTAAGGAGCAAGCCCAAGAAAGCGAATTGGTGCAAATGTACAGGCAAGTGGGGGACAATTATTTAAAACACATGGTTTAGAGCATCACCGTTCGTGATTCGGATCTCAAAAGTATGTAATACGCAGTTGGAGCACTGTCTGCAACGAAATGCCACTCTCCGGGTCGTCACCAAGCATAACATTGCCCTAGAAAGTGAGGCTAAGCGCAATCGGCTGGGATTTCTGGGTATTTCCAGCATCTGACGCCGTTCCGAAGAATAAAAATTCCATCGAGTGGCAAATGGGTGGACTGCTTGGACACGCTGCCTTCAAAGATCCTAAAAAATACCGGGTAATACTAAACGTCCCGAAAACAAGATGCACTTAGGTATTTTACGGTGTCAGCCGCGAAGACAGTCCTTATTGCGACAAAAAGAGGATGCGGGCAAAGGAATCGAAAGAGTAAGTTGTAATTTTGAAAGTCATAGTTTATTTTAGTAAAAAGCGTGACGTGATGGTGCCGGCTGCAGATCGGATTCCACTACCTATGAACGAATGGTTGCGCTATGAGCGCAGTCTGATGGTCAAGGTTTGGAATTTTTTTTGGAATTGTTTTCTATCGTTTTTAGGAAGAGACTGGCCGTTCGACATACGTTGGGGTCGACAATCCGCCGTCAATCTGTTTCTTCACGGCGTTGAATACAGACGGCGGGGTTGCTTCGTGTGATGTCTCTGATGATTCCTTGATTGTTGCTTTAGGGTAAGTTGTTGGACACGTGCTTTAAAGAGTGATTAGGCTGAGTGACTCCAATATTGCGCTTTATGCCATCGATGAAACGAAGCAGTTGAAGCGGTTGAAGGAGGTCGACGAGCTAACGCAGGTATTGTTGTCTTCTTTTCACGGAAAAAATCGAGCTACTTCTGGTTGGAGTTGTCCACCTTGTACCTTTCAATTTCCGATTGACGTCCCAGAACTCGAGCCCGATATGGTCCGAGAAATGTTGTACGACGAGACGTCGGCTTCGCGATATGTAAACATGGCGGTAGGTCTTTCTATCTATCTCTAGACTCTCTTTTTCAGGGACATACTGGCCCCGTCTACGCCGTCAATTTCGATCCCACGAGGAGGCTTCTCGTATCTTCAGGCGCGGACGCGACGGTCAGACTGTGGAGTGTCGACACCTTCCAGTAAGACTCTCTTCTCGCCCTTCAAAAATATTGCAGGAACGTTACTGTAAATCGCCTTAGTCGACCTGTGTGGGATGTGAGATTCTGCTCTCGCGGATATTACTACTGCACTGGAGGCGCCGACAAGACGGCAACCGTTTGGTCAACCGACCGAGTGCACCCGCTACGTGTGAGTTTGAATTTAAGCAAATCCATTTTTACGGTAAATTTTAGATCTTTCCGGATTGCTACGGTCACGTAACGTGTATCGACTACCATCCAAATTGCAATTACATAGCTGGCGGCAGTGACGACAGGTTCGGGTTTTACACGCTTCACCTTAATCGTTTTTTCAGATATGTTCGATTGTGGGATGTTTTGACTGGAACTTGTGTACGCGCGTTTGGCGGCCATAAAGCTGGTATCCGCGGTATCAAGGTGGGTTTTATGCCAATTCTTTCCTAATACCTTCATTTGTCGGAAGCCACTTTATAAAAACAACGACCTAAAATACGCATAATTAACAATTATTCTTCAAGATCTCTCCATGTGGTCGCTACATCGTCACGGTATCTGGTGATGGTAATTTGTGTGTTTGGGACATTGCCAGCCAACGCCTCCTCGCGGCGGAAACTCACGCATTCCCCTGCACCATGGCCACAATTTCGTTCACACGAGAAGGTTAGAATTTTTTGCTGTTTTTTTCTCATTTTTTTTTGGTCCGAAAATACATCTCTTTTAGGTGACACCTTTTCCGTGTCACGTGGAAACTCTGCGATCACCATCTACTCTCTAGAATCGCTTCTTCGACAGCATTCGCAGCAGGAGAATTTATCACACGAGCCAAAGTAAGCTAATACGTTTAAAATATGCTTTTTGGTTTCAGAATTAACCCCGAGCACTTCCAAATCTACGAATATGCAACGAAAAACACCCCGGTTGTCGGACTACACTGGACCCGGCGGAATCTGCTTCTCGGTGTTGGATCCTTTATGCAATGATTTTTTTTGTACGCGTTCTGTTTCTCAGGAATTTTCGTATTTATTTGCCCTGTTGTCTTTCGAGCTCGGGTCTCCCATATATCAATCGTCAATGATAATAAACTTTTGGTGCAGCGTTCAAAAGTGTGTGCCCCCGGTCATTCAACCGGCCCGCTTATCTTTGCTGTTTGTCGGTTTTTCGGGGCCATTTCATCGATCGCTTCCGCTTTCGAGGATGGTCCAAATATATTTTCCGCCTCCAAGTGAGGAAAGTGTAGGGATTTTGTGGGTTATTTTCATCAATTTATAGATGAGGATGGCATATCCCGAAGGTCTCACCTCTCCGGAGGTCGAGATCGCCGAGGGAGGCATCATGCTCGACAACAAAACGTAAGTGGCTGTATACTATACCTCATCCAAATGTCTTTCAGTCGGTTTGCGGACCTCCGAGCGATGCTTGATTCATCCAAAGATGGGCTTAAAATGGACGCTATGAAACGAATAATACAGGTAGGCCCTCAAATAGAATCCCTGAATGTAATTTAGATGCTGGCGAAAGGCAAAGACGTCTCTGAACTCTTTCCGGCTGTAGTCAAAAATGTGGCAGCAAAAAATTTAGAAGTTTGTCAGAAAATATACTTCAAAATTTCCCCTCTTTAGTTGAAAAAATTGGTCTACGTTTATTTGGTGCGTTACGCCGAAGAACAACAAGATTTGGCGCTTCTTTCGATCTCAACTTTTCAACGGGCCTTGAAGGTTTGTTCGTGTGTTTGAATCAAGCAAAGCTAATCCCAGGATCCAAATCAACTGATTCGCGGATCGGCTTTACGCGTCTTGTCGTCGATTCGTGTCGGCATGATAGCTCCAATCATGTTGCTATCTATAAAAGATTCCGTCAGGGACATGAGCCCCTATGTTCGAAAGGTAACGACATGAAGCTTGGGATTTCATTGAGTATCGTTTCCAGGTGGCCGCCCATGCAATTCCAAAACTGTACGCTTTGGACCCGGATCTCGAAGCGGAACTGGTCGATTGTATAGATTTTCTCCTAGGAGATCGTAGGAGTTTGGTACGTCGTTAAAAGAATGCGTCTAAATTCATTCCAGGTGCTTGGCTCTGCCGTTTATGCCTTCGAAGAAATCTGCCCTAGCAGAAACGACATCCTCCACAAGCATTTCCGGGCGCTTTGCCGTGCTCTAGCCGACGTCGACGAATGGGGCCAGGTAGGCTCGAAACTACGGATAGAAAAAAAAATCAAATTTAGGTGGTTATGATAAACCTGTTGACCCGATATGCTCGCTATGAGTTCTCGAGCCCAGAAAAGGGAAAGATCGATCCTGATCTGCAATTGTTGTTGGCTAGTGCTAGACCACTACTACAGGTTTGTTTCGAATAAAGAGAAATAATCCAAGATTTAGAGCCGTAATTGCGCCGTTGTAATGGCTGTTACCCAGCTATACTACCATTGTGGACCTAAGGTATTCCTTAAACTGTGTAAAAATATTACCAACCTTCTAGGCTCAACTCGGTCAAGTCGGCAAGGCGTTAGTACGGCTTCTACGCGGGCCGCGCGAGGTGCAATACGTGGTGCTGCTGAACGTGGCGACAATGTGCGAGACGCAGCCGGTACTCGAGGGCACATTTGCCATCAGCAGGGTGAGCCGGCACACGGCTCTAACGCGCCGTCGGCTTTGTACAGTGGCATATGCGAATATGCACTTTTCGTGTTGGTCCGAGCGCCAGAATCACCATTTCGATGTTGTTAGATTTGTGGTCTCCCATTCTTGCATGAGCAGTCTCCTCAAATCACCCGAAATGCATCCGTGTGCGGCCTCGCCTTGTGTTTATATTTACTCCTGGGGATTTCCAGCTTAATTTTTGATTATTTAGAACATGTTCGACCCATTCCTCAAAAGTTTCTTTGTGCGCTCGTCGGACCCGGCTTTCGTCAAGGTAACGTTTTTTTTAAGTTTCAGCTAGGATTCCCGTTTTTAGGAACTGAAGCTTCACGTGCTTACCTCCCTCGTCTCGGAGTCAAATGTGCACATTATCTTGCGGGAGCTGCAGACCTATGTGTCAATGTCAGAGCTGGCTGGAGGAGCTGTCGAAGCGATTGGAAGGTAAAAATGTTTGCTTATTGCGTAGCAGTTGAATAAAATATGATATGTAATAAATCGCTTTTAGATGTGCGGTTAGGGTGGGAGCAGTCTCGGATTCTTGCCTCGCCGGCCTCGTCCAACTAATCGCATCCCCTAATGAAGAGGTCGTTTGCGCTGCGGTTTGCGTTTTGAAGAGGTGATCTCTAGCAACGACAGAAACAATGTTATGTCTGTTGTTTTTTAGGTTGCTCCATGCCACTGCCCCGGTTCCTCTTCTTTCTCGGCTGATTCGGTTGATACATACAATTCAGGCCCCTGCGGCACGGGCTTGTGTCGTATGGCTAGTTACGACGCATGTGGATAAGGTATCGATCCTTATTTCTAAATCTTACCAAAAAGTTGCAGACGATTAGCATGGCGCCTGATCTCCTGCGAATTTTGGCGAAGAATTTTTCGAATGAGCACGAAAGTGTTAAGGTGTGTTTGAGCCCGAACAACTCTTAATTGCATTCCAGGTGGAAGCTCTGAAATTGGCCGTGCGACTTTGGATGGTCGATCGGGAAAGGGTGGACAAGCTCGTCGAATATGTCTTTCAACTGGCTCGCTTCGATCGCAGCTATGATGTTAGAGATCGGTGAGTTTTTTAAAATAAAGAAAAATGAGCACCCCTAGATGTCGTTTTCTACGCAACCTTCTCTTCAACACCAGCACCCTCTCCTCACACGCCGAAGAGATTTTCATGGCGACCAAGCCGGCACCTGCCTTGCAGAGCAGCTTCAAAGGTATTCGCTGTTTTTCGCGCTCATCTACTGATGCATTGCAGATCGGGCTCAATTCCAACTTGGTTCGTTGTCGCATGTACTGAATCAGCGGTGCAGCTTGTACAAGGACTTGAGCGAATTCCCGGAAACATCATCGGACCCAGCCCTCCGCCGAGAAGCCAACGCAGTCGATCATGCGCAATGGCTGGATGTGGGAGAAGAAGCAGTTGAAGAGGAAGAAGATGAGGATGAAGATGAGGACGAGGAAAGTGACGAGGAGGGAGATGACGTTCGTTTTGCAGAGTAAATGCCAATCTATTTTTACGACCTTTAGAGTGACGATGAAGACGACGAAGAAGAGGAAGATGCTGCTGACGAAGAGGGCGATGACGAGGAAGATGATGATGATTCCGTGAGCGCCATCTCATATAGTCATTCTCTTGTTTAGGACGTAGAAGGTGACTCTGAGAGTGATGAATCCGAGGAAAGTGAGGAAGAAGTGAAGCCACCTCCGCGTATGCCTGTTCAACAGAAACCGACAGCCAGCATCCCGGCTACTAAGAATATCAAAGCAACGGCCCCGAAAAAGGAGGTTTGTCTAGATAGATTTTCCGAACGGTTTTTGAAGAAGGTTGCTGACCCATCGACGATGGACTTGCTTCTTGATCTCGATTTTTCTGTTGCTGGCAGCCGAGCTCTTGTTGATCCGGTTCCCCTAGAGAGTCCAGTTAGTTCTGCTACGGGAACTTTATGGGTTTTCCAGGATAAACTAATTTTCAACGTGGTCGAAGGCGGCGGCATCGAGCTGTCGCTTGGTTTCCCTCGGACCAATCAACAAAATTTTACGCCGTTGCGGTTCCAGGGTGAGTACTATAGTACAGTTGGGTGAAACTATGGAAAATATTTGTAGTGTGCAACAAGGGAGATGTCGAGCTGAGTAACATTGAAGTCTGTCCCCCGACTGGGATGAACACCACTGGTGTTACAAAGGTAGAGTTGCCGAAAATACCCTGAAAAGAGATGCTTTAGATTGCGAGCTTGGCAGCTGGGGCTATGACCACATTGTCGTTGGGAGTTGATTTTGGGGATAGTGGAAAGAAGACCGAGTGGTCGCTGACCCGCGACGAGGGTGATGCTCGAAAGTTTGATCTAGAGGTTTGTGCAAATGCGGTCAAAAATAAACCATGGATGCAGATTCCTATCGGCGAACAAGTGCAACCGATAAAAATCCCGGAAGCGGAGGTAGAGAAGGAACGGAAACGTCTTTCGGGGCTCAATAGACACACGGTTTGTTACAGGCTAGGGTCTTTTATCGTTTATTTTAGGTTTCATTGAAAGGCGCGTGGAACGATCACCATATCTACTCGGTAGCGAACCTATGGAAGAGCGGCGATAAAGTAAGTCAAAAACAACGAGCAATATTTCGCAAGAAAAACAAGAATAAAACGTGGGATTTAGACATTTACCGGCCAGACGCGTTCCCGTAAAGATATAATGGTTGTGACATTCGAAGAGGGTTCCGTAGAGGTGGGTCTACAACAACCAAATCCAACGAATAGCTTTAGTGTTGCTGCGACAACTCGATCGTCGGCCGGATGATTGCGGATGCCATCCAAAAATCTATCCAGTCCGATAATTAAAAGTCATAATAGTCATGATGCTAATCTATTGATTCCTGAATTGGTGTACATTGTTGTTGTGATGGTGCTGTACTTGGTTGTGTATGGATAAAAGGTATTGGCAATTATCCTAGCATACAGTACAATATGTCCAAGCTTTAGAGGAGCTCGTTTTATATTTAACACACTGCGCCAAAGAGTTCGTAAAAGATTGGATACCGGGATAGGTTTTCTTGGGGTTGTTACCAGCGGTTCAGCGCGCTTTTGAGAGGGCATAGGATGGCTCGTAGGGCTCGCTAAATATCGTGTATACTTCGAAATAAGACTCAAATTACATATTTTTAAAGAAATAAAACAGGATACGGATCTTCGTTTCTTGCCTTTATCTCCATTCATCTTTGTGGCAGGCATCACGTCCGGTCTATAAGTTTTTTTTTTCAGGATGAAGATGAAGAAGAGCAAAGCCTCCGGGAAGTTAATGAAGAAAAAAAGGCCGCAAAAACTCAAAAAGGTGCATTTTCGTTTTAATAAAGATAACTCTGCCTAGGCGAAAAGGGATGAATTGTCCGACGATGAGGAATTCCTGCAGGAGGATGGTGGCAACCGTGTAGACGAGATTTTGGGCAAGTTGCTAAGTAAATGCTTATAAAATAATTTAAGAAGGGGAATCCTTGCCTTCGGATGACGAACAAGACGAAGGAGATGATGATATCATGGAAAGCTCCTCGAAGCACAAGGCTGACTTGGAAAAACTGCGCAAAACCGACCCCGAGTTTTACAAGTTTCTGCAAGAGCAAGAAGCCGATTTGTTGGAATACAACGAAAGCGACGAGGAGGCGGAAAAGCCCGAGGAAGCAGAGGAAGAAGAAGGAGAAGAGGCAGCTGAAAAAGGTATATAGTACCATTGACTGCAACTTTGTTTAGATACTTCCAAGAAAAAGCCGAAGATCAATAAGGATTCTTCGACGGGCCGCCAAATTTTCGATAGCAAATGGTACAACTATCTGGAAGACGAATTCGCTAAGGTATACATTAAGAATTTTTATGTAAAAAACTTCCACTTTAGGCTAACGTGCCGCAGAAATCCGTGCGCCTCGCGGTGGCTGCATTCGCGGCTTGTGTGGCTAGAACTGGGGCTGATATCGCGCCTCCAGAATGGGTGATTAATGACGAAAAGGTGGGATAAGTTTCTGTTCAATAAGGATATTTTCAGGTCTTCGACGCGGTCGTTCGCTTGGCCTTCTCGCGGATCGCCAGCGAGTTGTTCAAATTATTGGGCGAAGTGAAGAGCGAGGTACCACTGGACTCAAACGGCTATCTTTATATTTCCAGGATAACAATGATGCTGAGGCTGTGGCAGATCAGGGGCCAAAATCGGGGCGCGGCAAGATCCAATTTCGCTTCTGGAGACGGCACAACAAGATCACTAAAGAATTCCTGAGCTCATTGTTGATGGTAAGTACTCACACTTTCTTGTTTTATAGTTTTTCTTTAGTTTCTCAACGAAATCCAGTCCCAAACGGCGATCGTGGCTACTTTGAAGGCTATTCTGCCCTCTGTGTCGTTGTATGCCCAGTTTGCGAAGCTGAACAAGCTTTTAGTGAAGGTACGGGTTAGATAGAATAGGTGGTACGCCCATTTTATAGAGTCTGACAAGGATGTGGTCCCGAAAAACGTTGGATACTAGAGTCGTCGCGTTCCTCGTCCTGAATAAGATTGTGAAATACGATGAGGATGTCTTCAGTTATACTTACAAGGTAGTTTTGCGATGAGCTGATTTCAACGACGATTTTAGACAATGTATCTGGCTTTCGTGTCGAATTCTCGACAAGTAACGCCCGAGACGTGGCCTGTGCTCCAATTTATGCACCGTTCATTTGCGGAATTGACCATCGTTCATCCCAACGTTGCCTATCAGTAGGTTTACTTTCCTCACGACTTTAAAATCTTGTAGGTATGCCTTCACCTACATTCGCCAGATGGCCATCCACATTCGCAATGCGCAGATTGGCAAAAAGAGAAAGGCATTATTTTTCTATAGAACCTCACATTTTCCTAGGATCTCGTGCAAACCGTCTACAATTGGCAGTTGATACAATGTCTCTATATGTGGGTCCGAGTTATTGGCAAGGTACATTAATCGTTGTCAAACTACCGCTCGATTAAATTATTAGAGCCACGACGTTGAGGGTGCCGATGCACTGAATGAACTCCATTACCCCTTGACGCAAGTGGTCGTTGCGACACTAAAGTAAGCGAGTTGAACAATCGCATTAAAAACGATTCTAGACTATTCCCATCGCTCCGCTTCTTGCCCCTTCGGTTCCATTGCCTGGCTCTGCTGATCGAGCTGCAGGCTAATTGCGACAGCTACATTCCGGTGATGCCGCTTGGCTGCGATGTAAGTGGATCATTTTCTAAGCACAATTTTTTTTAGTTGCTCAAAGAGCTCCTCCTGCTCACAAATCGTAAACCAAAACACGGGAAAGGTGCCGCGAAGCAGTCGGACCTCGGATCGCAACTACGGTAGTTCCGTTGCTTCACAATTATTTTCCCCATTTAGCGCTTCGGCTCAACAAGTGGAAGAGGCTGGATGGCGTCAAGCTGCTGCAGACACATTGTTCAAAATACTGCTCCAGGCGGCTCATATCTTATCGAGCAGCCCCGCTTTTCCGGATGCCACCCTGATTGCCAGCCATCAGGTATTATAGTGCATATTTCACGTTGACGGATAAGCTTTCAGATCCGAAGTTTCTGCAAGAATTGTCGCAGCCCGGATATCAGTCGTTTGTTCAAGGCGCTCAACGACAAGGTAATAGACCAATTTCAGCAAAACGTTTCGTTTTAGATCCGCGAGCACTCGATATGGGTTTTGGAGAAGATGAGCACGCGTGGCATTGACCTGGCCGAGCCCTTGACCCTAGTAGGACCCTTTGAAAATCCAGTAAAGCTATTTTTGCAGCTTCGCGCTCGACAAGCTCTCGCCGACCCAGCAAGCCCCATCGTCATCTACCACAATCAGTTCGCCCGTATTTGGAAGATGAGAGCGGCCGCCCTGCAAAGGGTGCGATTTATCGAGAAATCGGAACATTGATTTAGAACGACACTCTGGCCGCGAAGAAAGCGACTGCCAAGACGGCACCTAAAGAGGAATCTGAGGAACCAGAAGATGTAAAGCCGACGATAACGAGCAAGCAGAAGAAGAAGCAACAAAACGGTCATGACGAGGTGATCAGTTAAAAAAATATTGATATTTTAATTTCAGGCGGAACCCATTGTCGTCAAAGGAAAGAAGGTGAAGAAGGCGAAAAAGAAGAAGTTGAATCCGAGCGCCGCCAAGGGAGACTCAATCGACACCGTGCTCGACCTCCGCAACATGGATTGGTCCGATTAGCGGAATTTTGCTACTGTTTTTTGTTAGTGTTAATTTTTTCGATCTTGTTTACTCCTTGTTGAATTTTGTTATTGTTGTTGTTGTTGTCATAAAACTTGCGTTTGTAGCCCTTCTCAAATGTCGCTTTATTCACGCAGGGCCAGATATTTTCTTCGTAAGGTCTCATCAGGTCAAGTAATGAAAGTAATGGTTAATTGTTTTCAAATGGGGACGGGCTTCAGAAGTACTGTCTTTCAAGGAAATTTTGCTGGATCGTAAAGCTGTTCTCGTCGGGGTTGCCCAGGCGGCGGCGCTTCGTCCGGTTGCGTGCCTCGTTAAGCTGAAGTATGTTAGTGTTGATGACAGGAGCAACAAGTGTAAACCAGGGTGGCCAAGTAGAAGTAGTCCGGCGTGTCGAAGGCACCAATGGAACGCAGGTACAGCTAAAAGGGGTTTGCCAACAATTTCGAGGAGTTCAAGGGCTCTCGGAAACGTTTTGTTATAGGGTAGATTCACCCACTTGAATCTTGGTGAACTGAGAAGGCATATTGCACAGAGAGATCTGGGAAGGGCAATCGCGTGACTTCATAAACAGGCGCATCATCGGCTGCAAAAAAATCCACTTTTTATGGAATCGAGCTTTCTAACGAACCGTTTGGAAACACAGCCAAGCCTGCTGGTTGCTGCTGCCGCAGTTGGCCAGCTCGCTGATGGTGTAGAACCAGCCCCAAAGATCGTCGACGCGTGTCTAAACCTTTGCTTATCTTGAGAAACATGGCTTCGTCTTTTTTAAGGCATCAGATCACCTGATCGCGGCCCAGCTCCGAGCACAAGCTTGCCCATTCATCAGTGCCTCGGATCCCGACGTAACTGCGAGGTGGTCTAGAAGCGGAAAAATGAGCAAATTGCTTCTTTTCTGGCAGTTACCGAGGAAGTCCATTGGCTTGAGTATAGGTGCGTGCCATCCCAACGTCATACAGTACCAAGTAGTTCCCCTATAAATTCACTTATAACGCGCAAATTGTACTTTGATATACGTTTATAAGACAACAACGCACTTCATGTCCAAATTATCAGCGACCAGCGCCCAAGGCTTCGCGGGCCTTGGGCGCTGGAATGCGGCCTTTGCATGAGAAATTTGGCTTCCCGATAGCTCGGGTCCCTCGGACCCCCTCCCTCCGTCCGACCACACGCTCGCGTGCAACTTGCAAGAATGAGCAGATTTGTATTTTTTTCACATTATGCAAATTAGCCCTCCCGGACCCCGAAAAATGAGTAAAACCGGCTTTAACTTTGTAAACTGTATTTTATTGGGATTCGGAAAATGCCATCGGAAAGAGGAGGGTCGTTTCCCCCGGGTGACGGAGAATTAGGGCATTTTATGCACGGTAAGGCCCTCAAATCGTGCCTCGAAAGTGACATCCACACACACACACACACACACACACAGATACACGCCAAAATTATATAAGGTAGGATAATTTACCTTCTTCATGCCCATATTCTCCGGCTTCAAGTCCCTGTGAAGAAAGCCGCAGAAATGCATGTCGTAAACGCCTTTCAGCAGATGCAATGCCAAATCGCAGACGATCGGTATCCGGTCGCGTTCAGCAAATGCAACTGAAAACAAGCTTTCTCGCCAAAGGACAAAATTACCGATCGCTTCCACGGGATTCCCTTCCAGGAATTCCATGACGATCCAGGCGACCATATCCTTTTTCATGCCCTTCATCACGCCATGGTCCAACATGCGCACCACGTGCTTCGTCCGATCCTCTTTGTCTTGTGGCTGGAATGAAGAAGCTGGTCTTCTTCCGCCGGTTTAAACTCACATTTTGCAACGCCTTGAGGACGTTCACCTCCCAGAGGATCGAATCGGACGCCCACGACGCGATGGCCACCTTGAGGACGGCTTTCTGGACCGGTGGCCGTACCCAGCTCTTGTCCGGCTCCACCAGCATTACCACCCCGTTCGCGCCTGTAACAGGTTTCCTTTGATAATTGAAAGCAAATAGTTGTTTAGACTTTATCTTGCAAAGGGAACTCTCCAATATCTTTTGATTTTTCATCAGAGACTACAGTTCCAGGACTCCTTCCATACCATGGCCAAGCGGCTTGGTGATCAGCCACCGCTGCACGACCTTCTTTTCATTCATCAGCCAATCGACGAGTGCCTTCTGTTCCGGTTCCCAGTCCTCGCCGGCCCTACAAAGAGCAGAAAATTCAACTCGGCGAAGTGTGGCCTACGCGATGCGGCGCCAGCTTGACATTTGGCAATCGCCTCTGGGTGACGGTGAAGTGAGGGATGAGTTTTTGAGGTTGTGTTATCATGCTTGCGTCTTTCTGATCGTGTTTGCACTTCCGTATTGTAATTGTAGGTTTATTGTAATTAACGGAAGGGCATTACGGAATTTGGCTTTTCGACCTTTTTCTGCAGGCTTTTGAGGTGTTTCTAACAAGTAAGCCTTTCTAAGGACTTACGAACAGACCTGTACTCAGATCTAGCTATACACGCACATATAGTGTCGTGCATGCTGCTCATGTTGTTTAAACGATGAATTAAAAACTCGAGATCTAAGAGCTCAAGTTAGTTTCCCTCAAATCTTTGGATTTATTGTTAGCCGTTTTGCGTCGTCGCCGCCCACTTAGAATTCGCACAACTCGCGTTTTAAAATTTCTGGCAAACTTTAAAAATAGGCTGAGAATCAGCAATGTCGAAATGATATTGCTGCTAGTTTTGATCCCGATCTGAGTGCAGGATGTACGCAGCTAATCCCCTGCACGACTTTTTCAGATTTGTTGATCCCAGGTGCCTAGCCGAGCCCCTACTTTGCGTGTTTTTTCGTGGGCTAGTGGCGGGTGTTTGTTGTGAGGTGGGTGGAGGTCTGTGGGCTGGGACGACTATGCGTCCCACTTCCCTCCCTTGCTATCCCGGGCGTTCGTCGGGCTAACTAGGCGGTGTGGGGAGGAGGGGCACCCATTGATTCGAATCTCTCTACACCCAAGCCTCCAGCGCCGCACCAATATATTCCCGCCAGCTGGCCCCGATGCGCCTGTCCGTTTTTGGTCTGTAGCAACGGCAGCTCGATTGCTGGTTTATGAGTTTTGGTCTCGGGCATTAATGTCTTCCCCTACGGCTTATCCTCATTCTGGCCGAAAAGCAGTTTAGTACTGTTCTATTCGCCGTGAGAAAATTGCCTTGTATTTTATATCAGGTCCTTTTGCAAATTTAGCAAATTATCAAAACGTCGCAGCTATTAATTTACATTGTTATTTTGAGCCTAACCCATGCGATTCGATAGCTAGATATTAGCCATTTTTCTTGTATCTTTTAGCACAGCTAGCTAATTTCCGGTAACCAAACCGTCGCTCTGCTATTGCATGTTTTGCCGTCCGGCGTCCCCTTTCAAACTTGATTCCCGCCCCCTCTTGTCCTGCAAGACGCCAGCTGATCGACTGACCTAGTCCCGACGGTCATTTAGGCTCGAAATTCACCCGCAGCCCGTTGCCCCAAGCGTCAGCCGCCCCTTCATTTTCCAACGTTATTCTAGGCTCGTAATACGCCGGCATAGATCAAAATTGGTGCCAGCATTGTTAGCAATTTTTGAATAGGCCCTTGCGAGAGGACCGAGCAAGCTTTGACTCTGGTTTCAACCCGTGTTGTTCTATCTATGGCTATCTATCTATCTATCTATGGCATCTGAAAGACGATGGCCGAATTAGTGGGCTTGCGTATTTTTGACAGTTCAAAAAGCGGATTTTTGTGGTTTAACTGAATTTTAAAGCTACAAATACCCGTTAAAACTCGTATCCCATGGCCATTCGATTTTATTCGTTCACTATGCCGTCGCCCACCCACTATTCTGATTCACAATTCGTACCGTCCCCGGGGTGGGGATGACCATTGTGTCCGAATGGAGGGGCCGATACAGGGCTTTACCCCCGGCTGCCACGGGAACTACTGCACCCCCTCCTCCCCAACACGGGAATCGATGACACCCCTTCCCCCATTGGCCCCCCTCAGGGTCCAAATGGGATTACGGCCACTAATAATTGGGTAACCCAAAGCACACGACCCTCCACTCAAAATGGAAAACCATTTTTTCCGAAAAATCACTATTTTTTGTGATATTCCCTCTCCTCACTCATTTCCCTCATAAACCTTTCTTGCCGCTGCTGTGCGAGGCTGACCTCAAGGTGGCTGGCGCCTCGCCAGGCCGAAGGTCATCTCCCCACCCCGCCACCAGCTCAAGATAATTTCCCGCCCCGTTTTCTCGACAAATTTATTCTCGTTTTCTTCGTCGGCCAACTGATATTAAAAACTGAAAATGAATATTTTCAGGGTCTTTGAGCCAGTCGATTTGATGACCGTCCACTGCTAACTTCTGGAGGCCATCAAATACGACGAATGTCGCTGAAAATGAATGAATTCGAGGAAGCCACTTTTGCGCTTATACAGAAGTGGGTCAAATACCCCGTTTTCATCTTTAGCTTTTAGGATGAGCCCTTCGAAACGGTTGAGCAAGAAGGACATCCCGTTCGATTCAATCAAAGACATCCTTTCCGACTGCTTGGGCAAGCATCAGTCGCAAAAGCGGCAGAGTCTGAATGGAAATCGCGACGCGGCGAAGACACCGGTATTTCCTCTTAAAGCTTATTGTTTTGGTTTAGAAAGAGGAATCGCCGGCGAGCATTTCAAATGGTGGTTGTTTCAGGCGGCCATCTTTCAGTGAGTCGACTTCAAATTCCAGAAAAAAAAATGGTTTTTAGGCCTCGGCGGTGACGATGAATACACGCGGATGAGCTCATCGCCTGCAGGGCAATCTGAAGACTCATTTTCCACCAACGATGAGGAATCCAGGAGTGGCACGGTAAGCTATTAAAAAAATTTGTATTGATTTGATGCTTTAGAATTCGTTCCTGCGGCGCAAACTCAGCAATGGTGGTACGAATTCCATGAGCTCCATGAATGGCTCGAAATGTGGGCTGATTGATCGTATTGTATTACTCTTTTGGATTTTAGCGAACCTCTCCTCGGCGAATCTGAAGCATACAAAACGTGTCAAACAGATGCAAGACCTGCGTGAGAAACGAAGAAAACGCGACACACACGAGGATTTCGACGAATTGAGTAAGTCCAATTTCTCGCGTCATTTCGGTCGTTTTCAGGGGTCCTGGACGGAGAGCTGACTTGGCCAATATTCCTTTCCTGGTGGGAGAGCCAAATTGCCGACGAGCAGCGCAGCTCTTTGTACGCCTACCACAAAACGATAAACACGCTGCGCAACTTTTTTTCGCGCCACACTTGGTCGACCAGTGTTGAGGTGATTTCATTTCCCTTGTTTATGATTTTTTTGTTTGTTTTTTTTAGAGTCAAATGATCACCTTTCTCAGTGGCACCATCTCTCAACTTCGTCGACATATTGCGGCCATAAGAGAAAAGGTACTTTAAAAGATTGCTAGGCTTTCGATCGAGTCCCGCAAAATTTCCTTTCTCCAGTTAGACGGCGTTTTTAGGAAACGGAACGTTTCGATGAGAGAGCTCGGGAAGCCCAACTGCTTGTTATGCTCGAAATGCACGTGCTGGCAAACCGAATAGGTAGCCATGGAAAAGAAGTATGTACCCCCGCTTTTTATCATCATTCATCTCCTTTTAGGTGGATTATCGGAAACGCGGCTTCTTCGATGGTGACGACTCTGGACAGGACGAGAATCTGTCGACCTTCCTGCGAAATGTAACATTATTTCGCTCACATTTTTACTGTGTCTCTTAGATGACGTCCGATTTCCGCTTCATATTCATGGCCACCGATTCGAGCCGGATGCGCAAATTTTTGGAGGAGGCCGTCTCGGATAGGTACGCTTTTTATTGCATTCATCCAGCACTTGTATTTAGTTTCGCGCACATAATACCCCGGACGCTGGCTGAGATCTACGACGAGTTATGTGTTTCCCTGCCCTACGATCTGGAGGAATATTCCCCCGACTCCGGATCGAATGCTGGTTCCGTTACCCACACCCCGACCAAAAGTAAGATTTTTAAAGATGTTTTCATTCATTGATTTGTAGAAGATCCATTTGCCGAGCACTCGCTTTATGAGGGGAACAGAGGTGTGTACTTTGTACAATTTTAAAATGTAGAATTTTGTCAGCAGCTGCAAAAGCCATGATGGACACTTTCCTCGATGAATTGGCGTCACTTAGCGCTCCAGGCGATCGCAAATCGAATGGCGGAGCTAAAGGTATATTCTTTTAAAGGTCCGAAAGTAGGGGTGTAAATAGGCGGCGCCCGTGTTCGCATAATAACCGGGGGATTTTCCTGGTGTTCGATGAAACACCCTTTTCAAAATGTCACGCAATTTGGGACCGATTTTTTACGATTTTGCAAAATCTCTTGGCGCTTTCTAGCCTCTTGCGCATATTACGATTTTTGAATGCGACCATGGAGGGACGGGGGGTTGTTGTGGGCAGCCGGGCCAGCTGGCAAATAGCCACCAGCCGTCCTTTCCCGTGCCGGGGACCGGGGAAACGGCTCTTCGTCCGCTCGATCAATACACCCTTCCCATATCAATTGTGTCCCGAGCACCATAAACGGGGGATTCCCGCAATTGCTTTATCACCTGCTATATTTCCTCATCGATTTGTCTTGACTAACAAAAAATTTGGCGTGGTATTTATTCCTTTTTTTCAGTCGGCGAAAAGCGTCGTCTCTCCAACGACTCAAAAGCCGAGCAGCCTGAGCGGAAAACTGTCCGCAAGAAGGTCATCCCCGAGACCCCCGAGGAAAAGCTCATGTAAGTTTTTTTCACCAAATCGAGGTTGTCATTTTAGAAGAAACCAAGCCAATTGCTTCGACGAAGACGAGATCCTCGAGACGCCAATGGGGAAAATGTACCGCGGCCGAGAAAGTACGAAGAGTCAACGGTATAGAATTTTGTTGAATTCTGATGATCAAGTTCCAGACTCATGCTCGCCGTGAAGAGAAGCGAGGAGCAATTGTCTCGTAGGCCTCGTGCCGCCGCCGTTGCAAGTGAACGAGCCAGTCGTGCCATTATTCAGGTAGATTCCCGAAAACTCCTGATTTTTCGTTATAGGCCGTCCAAAATACAGAAGTGCCCCGGACATCTAAAGCCGAATTTCTGGCGTTGAACACTCCCCCGTCGAGACCATCGCGAGCACGCGCAAACCTTTCGTCTGCCTTTGACAAAGTCGAGACAAAAGGATCGCGAACGATGGTGGGTCTAAAATTATTGTGATTCTACTTCTTTTATCCTTGCACTTCTTCTAACTGTTTTTGTCTTGTTCTATGTCTTGTTGCTGTTGGTGAACTCTCAAAAAAATCCTTTGGCTCTACTTCACTAGAATCTAATCATCCTCATTATCTGCACTCTCATACAAACTTTTTTATTTTCCTCCGTAGCCCCTCCGTTTCAGGCACTCGGTCGTGGCGAGTGATTTGAATCGAGCCCATTTGGTGTTGGAAGCTCTATCGAATTGATTGTGCCCAACTTCTCAGCCCTCTACTACCGCACACCCACCACTCCAAATAACTAGGTATATATTTTTAACATAAAGGGGATGAGTGTGCGGTTTGCGAGAAGGCTGAGATGTCGTGCTCTTTCTGTTCGTATTTGTAGCTAACACAAAGTTCCCATGCACACTTTCAGGCACTTAACTAGCTAGTCGTCCTTGTAAACTGGTCCTTTCTAGGTCCTACGTGATCGTCGCGTCTCTGCCCCATCGCCTCCAACCGCATCTATCCCACTCGCCCCATCTCCAGCTAAGAAAGCCGCTCTCCGAGTTCTAAAGAAGGCACTAACCCAAGGAAAATCTATCAAAAGTAAGTGCTTTATCTTTACATTTAATTCCCATATTCTTAGATGTCAAACAGCAAAGCACCTCCTTACCGGCCTCCCCACAAAAAGGACGCAAATTCGTGTTCAAATCGCAGCGATTCGGGCTAACTGAAGAGCGAATGAAGCAGATCCAGAATGCCCGCAACCAAATTGTGGCGGCAGACCGGAAGGGTGGCGAGCAAGCAGTTCGTGAATGCGTCACCAAAATGCGCCAAGAATTCCTTGCCGGCCGTGAGGCAGCCTCGGTAATTATCAATTCTTTACCCGAGGTTCCTATTTTAGACCCAACGCAACCGTACGGGAAGGGCCGTCAAGAAATCCGGCAAGGTCTACGTATCTCACATCCTTGTCAACACTTACAACCACAACAAATTGCGCCAGAACGAGGTGAAGCGGTTTATTGCGCCAATTCATAGCTCCGTTTCCAGCCCGTCTGCAACATCAAGGGGCAAATTTATTTCGACAAAGTGGAAAGTGCCAACCTCCGCTGGCAGCATCTTGTGGAATTGAAGAAACGAAAGCTGCTCAACGGCAAGCGGCAGCGCAACAACCAGAAGAAGCTGATCAAGCCGATCAGGGTATTTGCTTACTGGAATTCCTTTAAATCAATTTCAGGAGCGGTCAAGCGACGATTCTTCAACAAATGGTACTACCGAAGCGACAACTAACAATCAGCTGCTGGAGCCAAAGCGAGAAGCGATCACCCCCGACAGCGATGAAGAGGAATTATAACCCACTGCAAGTATATTCGATAGAACGCCCCTCACCAAATGGACTCATCCCCCCAATCCCACCCATTCCAATTTTCCGCGTATCTCTGTACAGATATTTGTTTATTTCCTTGTTTCTCATATCGCCTAAAGGCTCATCGAACAATTGTTGTCTTTCATTACTTTCATACGTCTCATGTACGTGATTGTTACTCTAAAACTCCAAAGAAGCGGTAATATCAGTTTATAAACGATAAGGCCTAAATCGCACAAAAACCCGGGGAAATACGTAAAAAGTGAGGCGAAATGAGCGCATAAATTAGGAAACCAGGCGGCTTCTCAGGAGCCCGAAAACCAAGAACATGGGCAGCAAATAAAGGAAGGCGACGGATTCGAAGATGAAGCGAGGGGCAAAGATTTTCCAGACCTAAAGAAATATTTGAAAGTAGATATACTAGCTCTACCATAAGGTGTCGTCTAAGCAAGGCTGCCGCAGCTGCAGAAGCAAATGGTCGCAGGGCAAGAGCAGCTGTCAGCGGGACGAGGTCGAGAGAAGGCTAGAAGTCACACATGTACAAACTTCAAAAGACAATCCGTTTTAATAATACCTGTAATAACATCGTGCCGCAAAATACGACGGTTGAGGCGAAAAGGTTGGTGAGCACGAGCAAGGCTGGGATCACACGAAGACCCCACGTCCCCGATACTCCGATAAAGGCGGCAGTCCATGGGATTGCAGTCAGGGTCGGCGAGTGGCCCAGAAAGTAGAAACCGAGCCCCAGCAATGTCGTTTCGGCACCAGTTTTAAATTCTAAAAAACCTTGTTATTTGCCCAGGTGCCCGATTCTACCTGCATTTACCACACTATGGATTCGTAGCGAGATCATGATAAAGATTGTCAAGCCAATGGCCATCTCCTCGCCGAGCAGTAGGTATAGGATCGGCAAGAGACCATGGAATATATTCCAACGTTGCTGTGCACAGCTGAAGTAAATCAAATCGCTATCACTAGGAGAATAATACCTTTGCTCCGAGTTGGGCCTAAAATTGAGCACGAGAACCAAGGCAGCGATAGCGTAGACGAGCCAAGCGGTGCTCAGCAGCGCAAGCTTTCTAAAAATAAATGTTGAGAAGCATGAATGTGAATCCTTACATATTATCACTATCATGGCTGACCAAGTCGAGGCCCCAATGAAAATAGACGGAAAGGAAGGCGAGGCTGACGAGGGCTTGGCAGAGCTTCGAACGATCGTCCGATGATGTTAATTGTACATCACGATCACTCCACAGCCAAGATGTTTTCTTGGACATGCAATGGGATAACGCCCACGAAGCCGCGACACCAAAGATCAGTCGAAGTGCTCGGATATCATCTAGGTATGGTAATTATCGCATTTTCAAGGGAATTCATACTAGGTAATGAAGCGGCGAGAGTCGTTGGGAAGTATTGTACACAGTCCGTTTCCTCTTCGCGGCATCGATGGAAAAGAGGCTCAAATCGGAGCAAGAATAATGTCGAAATCGGACCCTAAAAATGTTGGTGGAAAATGAAGGGTAATTTACCAAAAATTCCTCGTTGAATAGCAACGGGGTAAGGGACTTCAACTTAAGGCGACTGCCGCCGAGCTTCTTTTCCCACCTAAATACGTTATGAGACCATGATGGAAATATGACCTACCCCCGCATCCGAACAATTAACGACACGAATACGGCGCTCTGGAGGAGGTATCGTAAAAGCTCAGCCTCACGATTCACGAAAGAGTTCGAGAAGAAGGCGAGACATTGGGCAATAACGAGTGTCGCATTGAAGGCCTGAGGAATATTGTAAAAATAATACAAAAACCACCTTCTTCCATCGCCATCTGATTGTCAGAGCACCAACCGCCATTTTTCCCAGGTGGAATAGGGTGAGAATGACGAGAGTGGCCAGTAGCGGCGGAACGGAGATGCTGTCTGATCCTAAATTCCAGAAGTGGTATAAAAATTCAGCTCATCATACCTCCATTATAAAGCCCCATCTGCAATAAGAGGACGCCAGATCGGATGACGAGCTGTGAGAACGAGTTCGGCTCATCACTAAAGGAATTGTCAGGAAAAATGGCATAAACCTTACCTGATGGTGTAAAAGAAGCACTCCAGAAAGCCTAGCAGGCCAAGAACCATTAGTGTCGTGTCAAACTGGGTCCACGCGGCTCGCAGTGTATTTTGGACCTTATTCAGGGCCCTCAGCTCATCGGTCTCGTCCTCCTGAGCCCCACCAAAAAGAGAAGCGTCGCCGCCAAGATAGAGGGAATTTGTTGAAGAGTAGGCTTGGGCGAATCTGGAACAAATAATAGGTACATTTTTAACTCGAAGGTTTTATGATGCGCATAAGAAAGAAACTAACCGGATGACTTGCTCATAATTGAGCTGGACGGCCTGGCTGAGATCCTGGCGTTTCGGGAAAAGCTGCGGGATGACGATGCCGAGGTTGGAGAATGGAATCGGGACGCCGAGGAGTAGAGCCAACGATGGTACGAGGTCGATCTGGCGGGGCACCGCCGTCAGGGGGGTAAATTTCAGTGATGGCGAATGGATCTAAAAATCAAAATATCGGTTCTCGATTCTTTTTAATCCGCCTTAAGGACAGAAAGCCCATTAAAAAACTACCACAATTGCCTAAAATTTTGATTTTTCGCCAAACATGTAGGAAAATGGTCAAAAATTAATGTTTCAAAGTTTCTAAAATGTTTTAACGGGTGTTAGCGATCAACAACTACGAAACCGCGATAACAACGCTTTAAACGGCAAGGATTTTCCTAGAAGTTGCTAAGGTATTTTCTAGGGATTTCTGATTTTCTCAGCCAGATGACGCCAATATTCCAGGAAAAGTTTGATCGCTGACCTAAAAATAAACAAAAACTGCTTATTACTATCTGGGGTGTTTAAAAACTTTTGTTTAAAAACATGTTTCTCCACCCGCTGGCCAGATGGCGGTGTTCAAATACACAGGCAGGCCCGTACGGGAGCCGAGATTTCGGGGGGGGGCACCCACCCAAAAACTTTTTGGCGACCTCCCCCCCCGGTCGCCACTTTCAAAACTTTCAAAAATAGCGACAATAACAGCGCCGCAGGCGAAAAAATTTAGGAAACCGCGTTGGAAACGCTTAAATTCGTGTGAAAACACATCGGAAACGGCGCGCGCAAGCGAAATTTTGCTCAGCAAAAATGGTACACTAATGAAAACGGGCGCCGCAGGCAAAAAATTTTAGGAAAATGGGTTTTCTAGAAGTAAAAATCGTTTCAAAACAGTGATAAACAGCGCCGCAGGCAGAAACATTTTTGAGGAAAAATCCTAAGGGTTCCCCCGGTAAGTTTTGCCTCGCCCCATAGATTTTGCCTCTGAAAGGTTTCGCTATTTTCGCCATTTTGATCGGGATTTTTTAAACGCCATTCGATAGAGCGTCAAAAATATACGAAGAGTTTTAATTTAACCCTACAATAATGTAAAATAAGTCTCGCAGGCAAAATGTTTACAAATAAAACTGATACATTCCCGAAAAATTAGTGCTGCAAGCGAAAATTTTTGGAAAAATAAGTTTTATTGCAGTTTAAATTGTTTTAAAAACAATAATAAACAGCGCCGCAGGCAGAAAAATTTTTATGAAAGAAATCATAAGGGTCCCCCCTTATGAACTTTTCGGACCTCGCCCGATTTCGGGGGGGGCACCGTGCCCCCGGTGCCCCCCCCCTCGTACGGGCCTGTACACAGGCCCCAGTATTGCGTCAAACGGATCGGGGGTGTGGAAAACAGTTGGCTGTACGGCTGAACCAACCAGAAGCCCGGCAGTCACTTCGGGGGTTGTATCGCCACCGTGGTCGCCACTCGATGTCATCCCGTGGTCACCGAGCACCACCAGCAGATCGTCGGTGCGCATTCTTTTCACGATCAACTCGATCATCCCGTCCATTTGGCGTAACTGAAAGAAAACTTTGTTTTTAGTCAGTCAGCTTTTAGTTTCTGTATCATAACCATCTAAAAATTATCAATTTCCTTTTCACGACCGAAATCGAAACTGTTTTTCTGTAGATTGCGGATTAAACTCGTAGAGCTGGCTGGCTCCAGTTTTTCTCCTTCCAGGCTGGTTCACAGATGCCATTTCGCATTTCGGCCCCCTCAATTCCCAGGCTTCAAAGCGAAAAGCAAATAGCCCGGCCATTCAAAGCGTTCAAGTGGATTTTCGAGGTAAAGTGTCGCAGATCCAAGTATTCGTCCAAGAAATAGGATTCACTTTCTTATTTTATTGTTAGTTCTTATTCATTAGCGGAGCGATTGGCCGGGGAAAACTATTTTTTTTCAAATTTTCCCGTAGGCGCCTTATAAGGTTTGGTAAAAAATGTAGGAAAAATGCTCAAAACTTCAAACAATTTTATTTAAAAAAATTGTTTTAACTTTCTAGTAATCAGAAACTGCTAAAACGTAAAGTATTTACTGCAAAAACTTCACTGTGTTTTGCGAACCCCGCAATCGAACCAGATCAAATTATTTCCCACTTGCCAATTTCAAAATCCACACCCACGCTAACGCTTCTCACTTTTCGCTCCGCTTGTACCTCGGGCTTATCACTGAGACTCGTGTTCGACCATCATGCGGGGGTGAACGACCGTCCGACCGCCATTCAATCTCTATTCATCGCTGCGGAGGTGAAGCCTTGGCCCCGTACCGTCTCGTCTGCCCGGAAAAGGAGCGTCATGTGGGCGAGCCGCTGGCTGCAGCCCCAATCCGCCACCTCATCCAACGGCAAACACGCCGAATGGCCGAATAGCCCAGCAAAAAAAGCATTCCTGGGGCGCCCGCCCGGCGTTGGTCACGATCAAACCGTTTCGGAGCGCCACATTTTTTTCGGGCGTCTTCTTGCATTGGTCAGCGTACAAATCCGCGGCTAGCGCTTCCGCTTGACCGTGTATTTAAAGCGAGCGCGTTTGCGGCTTGCTTCTTCGATATTCGTGATCTTCCGTTTCTAAATTTTTTTCATATATTAAAAAATCTAGATATTTTAGGACCCCTTTTTGAGCTGGGGATGCGCACAGAAGCGCCGGCAAAGCCAGGTACGCGGAAAAAGCGGGAATCCTAAAAATTTTTCTCTAGCTTGCTGCTACCGTAGTCGTAGGAAGGAGGGGCTGGTCCCGTTGATGGTAAGGTAGGTCAAAATCGTGTCAACAATCTGTTTTCTCTCTAGCGTCAAAAATCACAGCTTCGATTAAGTTTTTTTAATTTTCCAAAGCCTAAACCTAAAGCTCGGATTGCAGACACGATCTGTGTGCGCCTAGAGTGGTGGAGGTGAGCCGAAAGGAGAAGGAGCGCCGCATCTACCCGCTATGTGCCCAGCAGGTGCGACATTCCTGTGAAGCGGAAATGGAAAATAAACAGCAACGCTCCGTGAGCGATGCAGGTGGCGAGAGATTGTACGCTTCCAATCGGTCAGTCAGGCATCGTCGCGTATCTCCCAGATGACGCCGGAAACGAGCCGGGCCTCAGCGAACTAGAGTGGAGTCCGACGACCGAGGAGCCCAGGAAAATATTTGTGGGTGGATTTTGCCTAGCTGGTGACTAGAAATACACCCAGCTGGTGCTTTTGCGTTATCGGGAGATTATAATGCTTTCTTAGGATTAGGTTTTTCTGGTATTTGCAGTAGACTGTAGTCTAGCGGAAATGTTTCTAAATTGTTTTTTTTTGCTATTTCTAGGCCAAAACTTGAGTTTTGTAACTTTAAGTTATTTTCCCACGTCAAATATATCGTTAAATTTTATTGAAAACTATGAAGCCACTTGCCGTTACTTTTCTAAATACAACTGGGCTTGTAGGTCCCCGCCCCCGTTAATGCGAAAGCACCGCCTTTCACTAATAGGGTTAGAAAAGCAGTCCACTATTTCCCAATTCTAGAAGCTCCAATTGCCAAAGAAATTCCGAAAAATCTCTACATCGTCAAATTTCAACAGCATCGAAGAGGAGCGCCAATATGGGGCAACAGCAGATCCATTCCGCTGGAGTGGCGGTAATCAATCTAGCGAAACCCTCGGCAGCACATCAATGATGGACTTGTTCGATGATGTGGTACAAGCAGAAACCCGGATCCTATTCACCCTGCCCAGCGATGACGAGGAAAATGACCACGAGCTTCAACGGCGCTAATTTGATTTCATGAGCTTAACTTGGATGTGTGTTGTATAAATATGAAAATCTTTCCATAAGAAGTTACGTCAAGTCATAATTCAAGGAAATCAAACCTTGCGCGCCATTTCCGGGTGTTCAGGGCCATAGCGATGCCCACAGTGGTCGACACCCAAGAAATGGAGGATGAGAAATTGGGTGTCATTTGTGGAGAGCTCGTCAGGTAACACTTCTAAAAAACAGGTTCTCCCTTTAAGAGTACAATTTACTCATGATTCCATCGTCAACCCCATGTAGATCGTGAACGTCAAAAGATGGCATCGCGTATTCACGGTGAAAACGCTTGGGGTACAGAGAAACCTGTAGAAAGTAATTCATACAAAGTAATTCAGTAATTCTCACCCAGGTATTATCGCCAATTAATGTTATATTTAATCCTTGCGATCGAAGTTGGTCGAGGAAATTGTCTTCGTGAATCTAGAACAAGGGAGAATCAGATACGTAAATGAGTATAAAAACTCACATTGGCGTCTGGCGAAAAATTGTCCGAGATGTCAATAAAAGTGGGCAGGGTACCAGTAGTCATTCCCTGAAAAAGGAACCAATTTTAGCCATTATTTCGGGTTTACCTTCAATCTTTGCAGAGTCGTTGTCGGCGAATCGGCCATGATTGGGCTCAATATCGACGAGTTCGACAAAGATTGCACGAATTTCATCTAGAAAGACACATTAAGTGAAACATTAGTGTAAGAACCTGGCCCAGATAGGGTGCGGTGCTTGGTGGGGGTGCTGGAGCCAGAAAATCATATCGGAGAGCATCAATAACGACAAAAATAACCTAAAAACGAATGTTAGTATCTTTCAGAAACAGTATTTTCGAAGTCAGCTCACCGCCAATCCTTACCCGTCCAAATTTAGGCTGCATCCAACAATCTTTAGTGGAGACACGTACATCACTGCAAGACGAGCGATTGTGAAGCTCTTTGCGCTTCAGAAGAAAACTGGAAATTCTGTCTTTGCAAGGGCCACAGCTCGACCCGTCATCTCGCATGTGCTTGGCCTTTTGGTGTAGACAACGATAGCAACGTTTTATTATTTATGGATAATTCTCAAATAAATAACCGTACCCTGATTGGAAAATGAGGAGTGAAATGACGTATCCGAGAGATATTAGTAGAGGCTTCATCTCGAGAGGACACGAAACTGAGGAGAGGGCAGCGGCAGAAAATGGGTGTGAGCGGTGAGGTGGGTCTTTGGTTGATCAGATTGTGTCGCACTGTGGGCCAAGTATCTAAATGGGCGTATTTTAGCCAATCTACGGCGGCTAATCTACCTCTGTGGCGGTGGCCAATAACGTGACGAGGTCCGAAGCGCCGGTCAGAAATTTACTCTCCGATTCTGCTTGGCGGCCGCGGCCTTTTTTGCTTTCTAAAAAATTGAATAAATGATGCAAAGCCACATTGGGGGAAAGCTGAAATTCTCAAATACCTGGGTCGTAAGCAACACTGTTGAATTGTTTGTTAGATCGTTTTTGTTTAAAATATTGGATTCCATTATTTTGACCTGTAATCGCAGCTCCTAGTATATTTTTATTCGCTCTTGCGAATGACGCCGCCAAAATCCCGAAAAAGCGAAATTACCGGCAATTTAGACCCTCAGGTGATTTTTCGCTTTTGGCTAAAACAAAAACACTTTTTTATGGTCTATTCATTCCCCCCCGAATTTTATAATATGAAATTAGTGCCTCTGAGGGCTCCTTGCCTGCCGTAGTCTTCCTCTCGGTCTTTGGGGCGGGTTTTTTCGGCTTTGTTTCCTTCGGGGTCTCCTCCTCAGTGCCCTCGCTTTCTTCCTCCTCTTCGACGATCTGCAAAAAAATGGCATTAGACCCAAAAGCGTGCTCACCTTCTTCTTCAGGGGTTTACCCTTTTTCTCGTCCTTTTTCGGGTTGGGCTTTGGCTTTGGGGCGGCCTTTGTGACCTTTGCACTCTTAGCAGGGGGTGTCTCTTCTAAAAACACAGTTTACTTATAAAGAAACAGAGGTGTTACTGGGTTCGGGGGCGGCTCGCTTAGTGGGTGTCTTCTTGACGGAGCTATTTGCCTCCTTCTTCTGCGTCTCTTTCTTTGGGGTGCCCTGCAACGAGTGAGTAGTCAGAGTACAGCGATAAAAGTGTCTACTATCAGCCCTACAAACCTTCTTTTCCGCTTCTTTCCTGGACTCTTCCAGAGAGAGCCTCAGCGCGTGCTCAAGTTCACGGCGAGAGATTCCTGAAGGTGAATAGAATAGAAACAAAAAAATATTAACAAACCGTCTTCGTCGTCAAGTTCAAAACGTTGTCGCAGAGATCTTCCGTTTACGGTGGTGCCCGATAGCTCGGATGTCTTTTGGCGGCGAACCATGAAGAGTGGCTATCTTTGTCCCAGCTGAGTATTTCTGGAAAAGGTATTCTTTTGGAAATGTTCATAAAAAATAGAGTAAAATAGAGGGTTTTTCAAACAAAATATAGAGCATAATAAAGTGGTTTATAAATGTATCAATAGTCGCACTAATAAAAATAAATCGATGTTTATTGAGAGAAAAGGGAACGTTTGAAGAAGTGGTGGGGGACGCCAAGACAGCGAAAGATAAGCCACTTTCCTGGCACAGATCGTTTTTCAAATTTCAGGGGAAGGGTGAAAAGAGAGCGAGGGGCTGAGAGAGATAAGAACAAAAGGGTATGAGACCTTTCTCGGGGGGGTCTGTTGCTCCATCAAATTTTCTGATAAAAAAACGTGATCACGATAACAGGGAACAGATCAAGAACCATGGGAGCAAAACCGCAACTTATTGTTTTCATTAGCTCTGGTTCGTTAGCGGGGGGGGGTTAGCCGTTTCCCTAGGGAACTGATTTTACTGCATTTCCGCAGATGCCGAATAATGTGAAATATGATTTATTTATATTTTAATAGCATTTCGCGTTTTTCTATATAAAAAGTTCCTAAAAATTACCAACAATTTATTTTAGGTAAAACCTTATGAAAAATGCCATTTTTTAAAATGGTAACAAGTTTGACTTTAGCGCTTTTTCTTGACGAAAACTACTACTACTACTACTAAAGCACTAAAAAACCAATAAAACATAGTTTATGTTTTATTGCAATGGCTGAATAAAGCAAGTTCTTTCCCTTTTAGCCCCCCGCTAACAGACCAGAACTCATCATTCACTTTGTTCAGGAATCAGGGAACGCCACGATATGCAAAAGTTATTTCGGCCAGCCGGCTGTGAGGATTGTGAAAAGCGGGGGAGAGGCGTGGGAATTGAATAGCAGCCGCAAAAAGGGGAAATAGGGGAAGCGAGAGATTTGAAAATTGAGGGAGAGCGCCGGGGAGAAAGAGGCAAAAGGCGACATCGATGTGCACACAAATAGACAAATAGCGCGAGAAGATCCCTGCACACAATCCGGAGGAGGAGACGCTCACCGGTACTTGAGGAGAAGGGATTGGGTGGCCGATACCCGGTTGTATAACCAATATATTCAGAAAGTATGGTTGTACTAAAAAAAAATCGGGAAAAACCTGGTTCTGCTTCTTGTTCGTTACCGGGGGTGGGAAAATCCCATTACCTTATTCAGCGCAACCTCCATAGTAACTATTTTTTTTTTGTAGATCACTAAAATTTATAAAAACATCTAACGATTCAAAAAGGTTAAATTTTGACGATTTTTCATGGGTTTTTTTACAAAAGCCAAACTTTGCCAACATTTTTCTAATTTTTTATACCTAGAAAAGGCGTAAAATATCTTTAAAACAGTTTATATATATACCAGCCGCTTCCAGCGGCTTCGCCGCTGCAAGCGGCTGGACTTCGGGCTATCCCCTGCGCTCCCTCCCCCTCGCCGAAACGCACGCGACCTGGCTCACTATGCGAAAATCATGCCAACCTCCGTCCCCCACCCCTTTTACTAAGGAAAAAACTTTTAAGTTAAATTTAATAAATTAAACTAAAAATTTTTCATAATTTTTTTATCAGTTTGGGGGTTTCTGACCACGCTCTATCCGCATCCGAAGAGAGCTAAGCTCTAGCTCCTTTCCCCTTCAAGTTGAATTCGGCTTCACACACACACACAGACACCTCAAGAAAATTATTATAGTAGATATTATATGACGTTTACGGGAACATCGACAAAGTTAGCCACACCTTTTTTGTTGGGATCATACGTGTGGCTAGAATCAACATGTGCGCGTCTCGATCGATGCCCCCAGGCGCTGCAATGTGACAGAGGATCGAGACCTTCACGCACCGACAGCCTTATCACTTTGCGAAAGCATTCAATCGCGCTAGTATCGAGAGTGTTTGTAAACAAAGGGGTCAAGGTGGGGATGAATATGCAACTACCAGCAAGAAATTAGGTATCTGAAATTTCCTTGAAGATTCAAGCACTTATTTTCCATAAAAAAACGTTGGTACAACTTGTCTGAATCGAAATGCAGCGTCTAAAATAGCGAGAAACGGGGCACGTGTTTTTGCCAAAAAATGAGAAGGAGGCCAGCTCGAGCGAATGGGGAAAAGGATGCGGCTGCACCGATGATGGAGTATGGCAACCTCGGAGAGGCAAAAGACACAGCCAGACTGCACTCCCCAGTCCCTACCTCCCAAAAGCTTATCGACAATGGCACAAGGCCAACACAACAAGGCTATTCCTGGGCTCCCCCAACCCCCTGGGAATATTAAAATTCGTTTTTGAAAAAGTAACAATTATAAAAATAAATGTCTTTTCCGATAATTAATACCAAGGGTAAACTTTATCAAACTTAACAAGACATCATCAACAAAAAAAACACCTAAACAACACGGCTATTTGCTTCTCCTTGCAAACCTTCGGGCGTTGGCGGGCATGGGCGGGCCTCGAAGCACATGCACAAATTTCCTGGGAAAAAAACGAAAGTTCGAAAGCGACAAAAGCACGAACCCTTTCGAAATTTGCAGATTCGCCGGTGTCAGTTCCTTCTTCGCTCCCAGAGCCTCGAGTGTTCGCTGTAGATCGGTGATTGGGATTTTCGTATACTCTGCCCAATCCTTGCTGTAGATCTTGTTTTCCGGATCTAAACGCGGGTTCAGTTTTATGAAAGCAAAATTTTCGATTTGTCGAAAATTAGTATTTCGAAATTCATTTCCCTGAAATTAATTTTCCTTTTTTCGAATTAATTTTCAAAATTATAATAACAGTGTCATTATTTTCCATCACTACACAAAACATGTAAAAAGCAGTTCGCGCTTTATTTGCGACATGCTGAAATTCAGAAATTCTGGTTACGACAAACTAAATGTCTACAAAATTGCAACATTTTTATTTCCATACAAATTACCCACGATAAATAAAAATACCTATAACTAGCGCCATCGCCAAAGTGTGTGCCATCAAACGATCGATTTCCAGTTTGCCCACCATCAACGTCCACTGCTCGACCGCCGCCATTTTCTTCATAAATTTGTATTTGCGTTGGCCGGCTATAACAACCGTTTTCAAACACAAGCTGATTCTCACAAAAATAACGATTGGTGACCCAGTCAACCATGATAGGCTGGAAAGCCGACATTGTATAGATTTGCTCGGTAATCGTCGACCTTGCACGGGCTGTCTAAATAATAATATGTTGAATTACAGCCGGTGCGTCACCTTTGCAACAAAAAGCATGGCCGCACAGACATACGTCAACGTGTTTCGGCGTTCATCTTTAATCGCACCCGACAAACAATTGTGGAATGGTGACGGGAACTCTGCAATAAGAATAACAATTCAAAGGGCGACACGTACTATTAAAGGGTCGGCCGAAGACTGTAGTTTCAAAATCGTCCTTAGCTTTGGCCATCAGAACCTTAGCGTCGGGAACAAACAACGTAATCTGAAAATTATCGGTTTATGGCCGACTTTTTAAAAAACGTTTTGAAGAATTTTTAAAACGACCCCGCAAAATTTTTTTAGCGTTTTATAGTGTTCTTAATCGTTTAAATCAAGCTAGAAAACGCTGAAAATGTTGGCTTCGTAAAGTTTAGATAGCCTCTCCGCATCGCTAACAGTCCAGTACCTGAATTCGCGCCAATCTATAAGAAAAAATCTCACAGTTTCGTCCCCGATAAACAATGACATTGGGTACACATCCTTCGGCAGAGCGGCTTCTTTGACGGCAACGGGTAGAGCTCCAGAAACATCCTAAAAATTTGGTTGACGGTTCGGTCCCACAATGCCCTACATTATTAATTGCCGACAAGACCCCTTCGGTCGTAATCTCTTCCTTCTTGACCTTATCCACTGAAGGAGCGGATGCAAAAGTGGCCAGTTGCATATCTTTGTGCGCCGTCTAAACAAAAAAAAAATATAATAAATGAGCTCAATTTACCTCTTGCAACAGACGCTTATCACTTTTCTCGATAAATCTGGTCCGCTTCGAGTCTCCAAAACTCATCGCCAGACTCAGTTTCGCTTCGGCCATGGACGTCGTTGGCACCTTGTTCTCCACATAATTCACCATGGATTTCCGCCTAAATAAAGCGTCAACCGAACCCTCGAACCACATACTTTCTACCCAATCTCATGTCCAAATCGTCGCAATATTCAGCTGTGAAATTATATAAGTCGACATCACTGTAGACGGTCTAAAACAAAAATTTTAAATCTCAAAAGGACCGCTGACCTCGCCCGTATTTTTATCGACCTTGGCCAGCACGTAATCGTATCCTGCAGCCGCACTCGCAACGCCACCAATAAGTTGAACCTTTTTCGCGTCCTTTAGAAAAATATAAATCTATCAGCAAGACAATATTACCGAATTTTCCACCACAAGCTCGGATTGACGATTCGCGTTTTGAATTTGAAACAGACCAATCTGAAAAATTTTAGGATGATGGTAAATTTGTACCTGTTCATAGTTCTTTAGCTTGTTGTGGACAAACTGGCACACCACAGGTCGATCGTCCGGAGCCTTCTTGGGCGTATTCATAGTTCTAGAAAAGGTACAACTTAAAAAATAGGTTTGTAACGAAAAGCGGTATGATCTGATAAGGACAGAATCGGACTTGGTGAAAAATACGTCGTATGACACTTTATCGACAAAGCAAAAATTTCATTAAGTGTAATCATAAGTAATATTTTATTGATCCGGCTTCACTGTCGTTGATATGGCCGGGTGCTAAAATCGATGTAAAAACATAGATGAAAGACTACCCCGCGGAAAACCTCGGCATGGCGATGCTGATGTGCTGAGGGATCGCCGGCTGTTGAAGAAGGTGTTGCCTAAAACACGGTTGTTAGAAATATTCAAATATTTACCTCACTGACAATCAAATCGTTTGTCCCGGGGCGTGAGCCGTGACTCTAAAACATGATTATCGCAGAAGTGCCGAAAATCCTTACCAAGCTGTGCCCATTCATTTCCGCGTCACCATCCATTGAAGTTGGCGACTTCATCTGGCTGGCCAACTACCAAAAATATAATGATTAAAATTTTGACTTACAAATCCGGCCTTTCGAACCTCTTCCCTTGGCACAAAATCGATTAGAAAATCAAAATGCTCGTCACGAGCACATGCTGCACCGATATCAAGCTGAAATCATTGTCTATTCCCGATTCTGCTCCACCCACTTTTTGAATAGTCTTTCGACGCTGCTCTTCAGTGAACGCCCAGGATTTTAGGGTCAACTCTTGGATGAACAGTTCAGTCGCTTTGGAGAGGAACAATGGGGCATCCTGGGCGATCATCTATAAGCCGTTTTTGTACAAACAATTTTGAAAAACCTGTCCTTCCAGGTCGTAATCAATTTTCATAATCTTCTTGATGCGCGCCATCGGAAGATCGAGTTTGCTGCTCAGCCCATGGTAGTAGGACTGAAAAGTAAGCAATATATCCTCGGTTAAAATTTCATTCTCACCGAATCGGCATCCCTGAACTGCTTCAGCTTTTCCGGGAAAAATCTGGAAACTCGAATTCTAGTTTGAGGATGGATATCTTACCTTTTGCTTCTTTCTCGAACTTCTCGCAATTCTTTGTTGTAGAAGAAGCCGTTGGACTGAGGAGAGCCGTTTGTCCCGTATACATACGCAGATGCCGAAGGCGTTTTTCTGCAAAGTTTTGTTAGATTTCGACTTACTTTTATCCTTACCCCATTCCACAATTCGCACCAGAGGTACTAGCCAGGTTGTTGTCGCCATTATGCATTTTTGGGAATAAAATAGAAGTTTGTCTTCGCGGCTATATATTTGCTTGGGGGGCTGCCGTCCTATTGGGCGACAAGAGAGTCCTATTGACTAGGCAAAACAAGGCCTGATCTCTTCCCTCAACTCGTTCTGTTAATCCAATTTATACCGTTAAAATCACTTTCTGAGAGAGAAAATCCTCTGAAAATAAATTGATTAGCAGGCAAACGGCTCCGGCCTCGACCCTGCATGAGTCAGGCGACGATACCTTACGGAATCCCGGGAATCAACGATCTACGCAGCGTACACACTTTGGATCGAGTGAATATTCGATTTTATAATTGTTCCCAGACCAACGTCGACCTTATCTGGATAGATTTCGAAGTAACTTACATGATCAGGCTGTGTAATGGCTATGCTCAGGGCCGTCCCATCCTCTACACCACCATTGGTGCAAAATCATTGTTCGATATAACCACGTTTGCACGCCACGTCTGGGTATCCTCTGGCCAAACAGCCTAGAACAAAATTTAGGTTTTCCGGAAACACGATAACGGAGATATCCTTTCTTGTCGAACCGGAAGACAACGACAACTAGCTGAGGTTCGTCAAAAAATTCATTCTACTAATCATAAATTCGCTTAGACCTTCGTTGCAAGCGCTTCAGGCTCGGAAATTGTCGCAATCTATTACCCAGGCAAGTTTAAATAAAAATAATTCACGCCAAGTTTTAGTACAACGTTTGGAAGCTTTGGCGGTCCGTCGTCTCGCGGAAATCTATCGTTGGAATCCGGAAACTTTGAAAGCCCTCGCCGAACGCAGGCTCATCACGAAGGATTGCCTGGTTTGTGGAAGATCATGTCCTAAAAAACGGGTTTAGCAAAACGTTCTGGATTACCTCATCCAACGGCGGAAATACAACAGCGTGTTTAGCAACAACCAGCCAATCGTCGCCAATCGTCGTGATCGAACCGAACGTTGAGGTAAAAAGGAAAAAGTGATTTTTTAACGAAAGTGATTTTTTCCATTTTGATTTTACAAAAGCGCGTTTGATTTCACGATTTTTTTTTTGATTTTTGGGCGGCTCCACGGAACAGCTACATACGTTACTGTTCGAAGTAGCCGTACGGAATTCTGTCGGAGCATTTTTCGAATTTTTCAAAAGTTTTTGTTTCAAATATCGACAAAATCGATTATTTTAAATAAAATTACAATTTTTGGAGCTATTGATGTTTGGGGGGGCATCTTTTTTTTTGGGGGCTTTTTCTGGCCTAAGCTTGTCTCAAAGCCTAAGCTAACCAAGCCAAGCCCAGCCTAAGCCAAACCTAAGCCGAGCCTAGGCTTAAGCCACGTCTAAGCTAATCCTAAGCTAGCTCTAGGCTAAGTCTAAGCTCAGTCTAGGCGAAACCGAATGTAAGCCTACACTAAGCCTAAGCTAAGCCAAAACCAAGCCCAGGCCTAAGCTAAGCTTAAGCCTAAGCCAAGCCTAGGCATAAGCTAAGTCTAAGCCAAGCGTACGCAAGGTTAAAGCTAAGCCTAAGCCTAGACCCAGGCCACCAAAAAAAAATGCCCCCCCCCAAACATCAATAGCTCCCAATTTTTATAAATTCTGTATAATGAATTTTTAGATCCGCAAACATGTTAGGATCTCGATTCTTGAAGAAAGTCCGAGAGATTGCCGGCACCAAGGACATTGAAGGCACCGTTCATCGCGCACTAACAGGTGCGCGTTTTCTTGAACACGCCACTGCCAAAGGCGCCCTTCCCAGCCCCAGTTGGGGTGCACGTGTGGCATAATGGTAGTGCGCTGGCCGCTGAGGATTGCGACCCGGGTTCGATCCCCCCCCCCCCACCCCACCGAACGGAATGATGCAGAAATTCGGATATGAGAAGGGTCCACTACACCCATTCGCATAGTGATTACCTTGCCGATAAGAACTGACCGTTTCGGGAAAATGTCTTTTGTTAAGGTTTTGGGTATTGGGGTACTCTTAATTTGTGTTTTTCAGCTCCTGATGCCGACGCCACCGAGCTTTTCGCCACGTTTCGGTCTACCGTTGATCGAGATGAGATTATCGACGTGATTGTCCAACAATCAATCGCTCATTCTGCAATCTGCAAAAAGCTGACTTCCGTAAGTACTTATTTTTGTGTTGATTTAGGTTTATTTTAGGGGCACCTGGAATTCCTCGTTGAACATTACCGCCTACTCGCTGTCGGCTCAGCATCAACGCTTTTGAAGAAGCTGGCGGAGAAGGCGACAACAACGTCTGACGGTCTACGCAACATCATATTTCTGATCAACCACGCGATCCAGCATATGAATGTTATTGGATCCGAAAAATTGTGCCACTTCATCCTCGACTATCTGCCCTCGACGATCAATTCACTTCGGTCTACTGCCAAAGGTATGTTTATTAGCAGCGATCTTATCTGAATTCTTAGGCCTGATTTATCCCTTGCTCCAAACCTACTTTGACGTGTATATTTTCTTGCACAAAGATTTGGCTTCGTCACGAAATGACTTTGGCTCAGGATTGGTTGATTTTGAGGTAAGTTTTATCTACGAGATTCACCTTCCCTTCCAGAGTGATCCATTCTTCACTTTGCTCATTGAGTGTCTTTCGACAAAGGCGGCTTCAAAGCACCCAGCGCTCCCCGATGTGCCTTCAAATGACGTCGATTGGGATATGAACGCCCAGGCCACGGTTAGGCACTGTTTTCATCAATGAAACCAAATTTAGATGAGCCGCTACATTTTGCGACATGCTACCTCAATCCGCTACCAACAAAATTTTGCAGAGAAACTGGTGTTCGCCATTAAAACTTTTTTGGCTTTTGACAAGGTAGGGAGATTTTTTCGCATTAATTCTGTACACGCACTAGGTGGATGAACTCGAAGAATCTATCGCCGAATCAAACCTTATTTTGCGAAGCGATGTCGAATCTTTCTGGGATCCGCTATCCACGGCGTTGGTTTCTGTCCTGGGAGCCAGCTTTGAGGTAGCGGAATATTTTTGGGTTTGATTGATTTTTAGAATGAGGGGACGGATAGCGAACCAGTGAAGAAAAAGCGTAAGAAGGGAATTGAAGCCGTGTCTGTGGTAAACTAACTTAATTTTTGCTTTAACCTGGTTACATGTTAGGATCACTCGTCTTTGAAACGGTTGTTCACCTGTGTAGATGCTCGGGAGATGACGGCAGATAAATTTGCCGCTATGATTGTTAGTTTTATTGTGACGACATCTTACATTTTTTCGTCTTAGAGCTTGGTTATCCGCGGGACGAAGTCGCCAGATAATTCGTTGTCCATCGTATCGTGGGATATTCTATATTCGCTGATCGTCGAACAATCGGTACGGCATCTCTATTTATCTATTTTTTTATACTTTCAATATTTTAGACGGATGTGGCCGTGAAGCTGACAACCCTTCCGAATGAGGAGATCACGACTGCTCTTCTGGATGCCCCATCATTTCCAGAGGTTTTTGGATTAAATTTTCAATAATTCGCCCCGAATTTAGGGCGCCGAGTTGTTCAAGATCTATTCTCTTATCTGGCGTATATTCGCATTCAACCAAAAGCTCCTGAAGAAGCTACGGAAAGCCGAACCCTCCGCCGAAACCCGCGACTTATTTACGGTGGCGAAGCTGCGGCTGGCATCCAGCGGGGCCTTCAGTATATCACAGGTATGATAACGCTGCTTTACGCCAGCAAGCAATTCCTTTAGATTTCGGCCGAAGATGTTACGCATTTGGTGAAAGCGACTTTTGATGGAGAGGGGCGGCAGTTAGGAACTTGCCTGCTCGATGCTCTTGTTTCGTGGAATAGGGACAATGTGAATGAGGCCATCGAATTGAACGTCATCGATTCAAAGAGGCGAAAGAAATTGGCTGAGTGAGAATATTGTTTTCGCGCCCATTAATTTTTATTCTTTTACAGCTTTGCCTTCAATAGCATCACGGACCATGCCGCGACGTCCTCACAGAAGTCGATTGCCCTCGAGTTTTTCAAGTTGCGCGCCGCCACGTTCTTGAAGGAGTCGAGCAAGATCGAGAAGGTATATTTATAGTTGGTAGTTACGTATTTGGCATAGGCACACATTGAACGGCTGCTCGATTGGGAGATCCTGGCGGCGATTGAGCCGCATCTGGTGGCCACGATTGTTGAGAAGGCTCAGCCACCTGATGTCGGTATTTTATCTATATTGTTATATGATGCGCTCGCTATGAAATTATTATAATTTCCTTCCAGCTCGTCAAGCTCATCGATTCTTACCCAATTACAAGCAACAATTCGAAGCTCTTACTTGCCCTTGACGCTGTTCTGTGCCCGAAGTTGCAGGTAAGGGAAAATAATTATCCACGGAATGCTGTTTTTCAGAAATTCGTGGACCCGATTGTCGAAAAGCTCCGAACAATACTCTCGAACTCTTGTGAAATGGAGGAATCGATTCAGTTGTCTGCTACCATCCTTCAGGTATTACTGTTTTGGTCTCGAAATTCAAACATTTTTCCAGAACCTATGTGCCCCAAAGAATGCCATCAACGATTTGGTCGGCCTAATGACGAGCTTGGTTTTGAATCTGCTAACGCTGCCCGGCCAGGTTTTGTTTCTAGCTACCTATAACTCTACATTTTTTTGCAGAAACTCTCGGAGAACAGCTATGCCCTGGTCCACTGCGGCAAACTGCTTAGTTCGTTACTCCGAGCCGCTCCCCACAAAATTCTGCATGATCGTTGCGCAACGTACATTGGACTGTTCGGTAATTTACCTCATGGTCGCTCACGATCTCAATGTTTAGGCTTGTATTTGCAAAAGGTGACATCGTTTGTCGAAAAAACCCTGGCGATGGCCAGATTCCACAACTTCGCGATAGTTGTGAAGCGAATTGTGGGAGGAATCTCGACATATGAGGAATTTTTCGAAATGGTATCTTTGCTTCGACAATACGTTCAAAGCAAGTTCAGACTATTCCCGGAACGCTGGCATCCACGGTCCTCGGCTGGGAACATTTACCGTTGACGTTCATTAGACTTACATCAATCATGCGCCCGAAACTATCTGGTGAGTCGCACGATCTTTTTTTTAAATGCTTTTTTGTTTCCAGCTTGCTTGGCAACCAACCTGCCTCCAAGCGAGAAACGCGCTTTTTCACGTTTGATGGAAAATGTGAAACGAGCCAACAAGAAAACGTCTTAGATTGTTATTTCCGCATAGTTTACTCGCTAGAATTTCTGTTTCGATTTTGTCATTTTGTCTCTGGTAAACCTGCGGTGCCTTGAATTGTTGTTGAATATTTGAATAAAGTTTATTGCCTTTCACCGCCATAAATAGCAACAAATATGGCTCGGCACCGAAAGGTTTTTGAATTGTCAAACTTTTTGAGTGTTAAATTCGATCTTCTTCTGAGTGTTTGTGATGCGAACCTTGCAATTCCCTTAAAATTCATTTATTAATGTAGAAGACGAGAGAGGGTCAAGTGAGGGTGGGGAATCAGGTGCGGAGAAGATGCTTCTGGCAGCCGCAAGTGCCGACCAGTTCAGCGTCTTCGTCAGAGGAAGAAGCCGAGGCACAATCAGTAATCTGAACATCGATAGACTTGTTTGGCGTGGCGGCCACTCACGACTGACCAGGTGCGAGCCCTGAGCCCGAGCCGTGCGGATGGCCCAATCATCGTCAAAACCACGTCCGGCAAAAGGATCGGGGAGACGGCGGAGGTCATCCATCGACTGGATCGAGTAGTCGCGGAGGCGCAGCTGCAATTGCGTATTCTGGGAATCTTTTGAATCGAGCTACCTCGTAGCCGGAATTGTTGTTGTCGCCAAAGTAGTTGGGCAACCCCTGCAGATCGCAAACGGAAGTAACGGTAGCCGCATGCTTGTTCAAGCACCAAAGTTGTTATTTTTATCTGTGCTCAGTGGAGTGTACCTGATTGCTGCCACCACGCCCGGCACCGATCGGGATCGACACCGTGAAGCGCTCGCTACCGAGATCGTCGGGACGGCTCGGCGCGGTGTTGAACTGGTGCTCCGAAGCGGCGCTCAGGGGCTAAACAAATTATTATGCCTTCTTGTTCATTGATCAACCTCGCGATAGTAGCTGCTGCTGCGGGAGGTGAAGATCGGAGGCAGGGCGCGGAGATCGGCGTGGCTTTCAGCGGTGAGCAAACGCTTGTTGTAGGTACGGTCGAGCCCGGTGCTCGAGCGGCTGCCATTGCCGTTGAGAGCACCGAGGCAGTACTGCGACTGGGTCTCGAACGGGTTGTCCAGCATCTGGATGTCGTACAGCGACGCCGAGCCGAGCCCTCCGATGCGGTACTAAAGAAAAGATAGGGTATTGTGCTCGAGACGAGGTTACCGAAGAGGTGGCACCAATGGCCCGATTGGAGCGGCTGGAGCGGGCGCTGCGTTCGCGGGCGTCGGGGAAGACGTCCGGGAGCCCGAGCAGATCGGCCTGGCTCTCGGCAGTGAGCACCCGCTTGTTCCTTGTCGCGCCGAGCAGCGGGTTCGACTCGGCTTCACGGGTCGAGTGGCGGTCGAGGCGCGGGATGATCTTGTCCTAAGGCACCGAAATCGATAAGCGAGATTCCACTTGCATGGAATGGCTCCGGAATCATGTAGATGTCTTCGGCCGAAGAGCGTCCGATGCCATGCAGCTAGAAAGAAAGGAATCCGGACATTTTTTTAGGCTGTTGTAACACTTGAAATTATGATTTTTGATAGGAAATGTTGAAAATGGCCAAAATTAAATTTTTGGAAATGTTTTGTAAGATTTTTCTTTAGATTTTCTACGAGACTACTGAGATAAAATCCAATCGAAAGCGCAAAACGGTTTACTAGGTAGCTTGGACGAGTAGGCTCACCTGGCTTGCAGGCGAGTGGGCGGAACGCGAGTTGGACGGGCCGAAGAGGTTGGGCAGGGCACGGATGTCGGCGTGGCTCTCGGCGGACAGGAGACGCTTGCCGACGGGCTTCACGTTGGAACGCGAGGCCTGGGTGGTGGGGCAGGCAAAGTAATCCTCATCCCTCAGCCCCCACGAGCCGCCGAACTGGTCGGGCACCGCCAGGAGGTCGTACTTCGAGTCTTCGGCCCGGGTTCCGATGAATTGCTAAAGTCAGTAGAAGTCATCTTTTTCTGTAGAGGAATATAAATTAGAGTCGTCACAAGCAGCGAAAGACTAAGGGGCCGAGACTTTAGCCGGCGTCTTCGGCAAGTACGGCAGCCGTTACCTGGGTGGAGTCACGCATCACCGACTCGTACGGGTTGTAGCTGCTGGTCGAGCTACGCGAGCGAGATGCCGATGGAACACGCGGACGACTGAGCACGCTGCCCAACAGCGCGCGGCGCCGGTCGTACACACGCGAATACGGGTTCGCCTCCGCATCAAAGTTCTGAATCTCGGCATGGCCAAAAAAACATAAAAACTCACAAATGCGTAGCTCATTGCAAGTTGTTGGAAAGCACAAGCACTCGAAAGAAGACCTTTAGCTGAAAATGGGGTGGGTGAGTGAAATCCTTTTTCAATGGGAATCGCAGGGAAATTTTTGGCGCCTTCCGGATGTAATGTTTTTTGTATGCAAATCTACGGACTAGTGTTTTTCACTCTCCTTTCACCCAAAAGAGATCGACAATGAATAAATATATTACAGGAAAAGCATGCGGGTGACACCTAGATGTTACAATTTCCTCGGCTCCATCAGCAAGGATTACGCGGCAAGTTTTTGGGCACAACTTAGAAAACTCATTTTAGAAATCCAAGAAGGTAAACGCCATCGTCGGCGCACCCGATTTGAGAAGCCCGCATCGGATAGCAGGTAAAGTTGGGAATTTATCGTTGACAAACTTAAATTCCAGTCGATACTACGGTGCTGCTCCTTGGCTGGGCAGGTGCACAGGATAAGCATGTGGCCAAGCATGCGGAAATTTACAACAATAAAGGGTATGTTTCGTACTTGTATGTTTAATCCTAGTTTTAGGTTTAAGACGATCATGTTCAATTCAGCTTTTGATGGCAAGCATCCGTTGTATCTAAAGGTAAATTTTCTATTTTCACGAGGTAAAGATATTCTTAGACAAGCAGAGATATTGATGGGTTGGTTCCAACGTTGGACAGCGAGTTAGCTGATCCTGGCCGCCGGCTACTCATTCATACATACAGGTGTATTAAAAAATTAGAGCTTCATCTATGCACTATTTATTTAGTATGAATGGCGTCTTCACCCTATGCACTCTCCTGTACCACAAACGCTTCATCGATCTGCTGAAAAGGACTGACGGCCTGACGATGGATAGGCGTGTCACTGTTATTTAACACCAGGGTTGAAAAACCGCTTCGCGGCTTTTCAACACTGGCCCCGTCCAGGACCTGTGAAAGTCCTTAATTTGCATGTTTGTTCCTGAATCCTAGCAAGAAAAAAAAAAGTGAAAAACGGCTCCTCTGTCCCTTTATATAGGCTCTTCCTACTTCCGGCGTATGCTAATTTCCCCTAACAAAAAGGGTTTTACAAAAACCTATTTTTAATAGCGAAAACCGCGATTTTTCAAAATTTTTATGGGTGTTCAGTCGATTCCGGACCATTCTAAACCTATTGTCGTTTCTTCCCTATCCAAAAAACCCTTCCCCGAGGCTGTAGGAGCGGAACATCCAAACGGAAATGCATGCGAATATACACACACACACACAAACACTATTTTTTATCCTACTATATATAAAAAATAGCGCCTGTGTGTGTGCATTTGCATGCAACTTCCGTGAGGTTGTCTCTCACCTACAGCCTCAGGGGAGGGTTTTTGGGGTACGTATGATACGTCGTTAGGTGCGTAATGGTGCCGAGATGAGTGCACACATATCAAAGTTTTGAAAAATTACTGTTTTCGCAATTAAAATTGGGTTTTTGTAAAGATATCGGAAAATCTCTTTGTTAGGAGCCAATTTGCATGCACCGGAAGTGGGGAAAGCTTATATAAGGGGGTAGCGGGGTCCTTTTCATTTTTTTGCAATCAAGGTTCGGGAAGAAATATGTGTGCGTTAGACGGGGCCAGGGTTGAAAAGCCGCGAAGCGGTTTTTCAACCCTGGTATATAGTAGGATTATGATACGGTTTTTAGCGGGCCGGTGTACTTCAAAGAAGTGAGCGCGTACACGCTCGTCCTTGACCAGGTCTTCGCCGACGTCACCCGGAAAATGGGCCCTGTACAAAAGGCGATTGCTGCTGTCTACAGGAATTACCTAGGGTTGCTGATGTCGCTTGCGCACATCCGGGTAAACTGCGGCTTATAAAGTGGAAGATCTTTTTAGGGGAAGATAGCGCGTACTATAGGCAAGGTTCCGCTGACCCAAATGGACGCCTTCACTTTCCTGAAAGAGCATCCGGATATGCCGCAAAATCAGATGTACCTCTTCTCGTCGAAAGATTTGATCTGTCGCGCACCGTAAATTGTACATGAATACTAATCAGGCGTTCTAGGATGATTCGTGAGTTCATCGAATGGCAGGAACTGCAAGGGAAGACGGTGCTTTATCACGATTTTCTCGACTCGGAACACGTCGCCCATATGAGGAGCTACCCGGAAAAGTATAAGGAGCTGTTGGATAGGTAAATTTATAGGCTTGCTGTCCAGAATTGTTCAGGTTATTTGTTACGATCGCCAAGAGACGTGGGCTGCTTTCACAAAAGCATGCGTGAACATTGTCGCTTTTCTTTCTATAGTTCTATAGTTTTTTTTCTATGCCTATTTAATGCTCTCATTCACCATGTGATTTCTAGTATTTTCAGCACAAATTTATACGCTCAATTCGTTCGGTCCTAGTCCAAAAATTTAGCTTGTTACCATCAAGTCCAATCACGTAGCAGTTGTGGGAAAGAGGAAAGGGGGAGGCGGCTGCCCTCTCTGAAGGCCCCACTCTCTCACCGCTCCCTCATAGAGGCGCCTGTCGGCCCTCTACCCGACGACTCCTTGGCGCAATGGTAGCGCGTTCGACTCCAGATCGAAAGGTTGGGTGTTCGAGTCACTCAGGGGTCAAAATTTTTGCTTTTTGAACTTTTCACGCGAAATTATTAGCAGCGGCGGATGGAATGATGTAAACTGTTTTACGAATGCTTAGCATGACTTCCCTGTCTCAAAATTCCAGTTCCATATGCCATTTCGAATGCTTGTAGTCTCTCCTCGATGGAGAGAAGTGCCTTTATCAAAATAAAAAAATCACAGAATGATGACAGACAGAATCACCAATGGCACAGAGATCAGAAATCACAGGGAAAATATTCACAGAAAGACAAAGAACAATATCATTCGGCCTCAGCCACAGTCGCGAAAAATGATCCGACTGGCTCGAAGGGGCTGACGCACGTAACCTCCGGCATTTTCGAAGGCGCTTGGGAGGAGAACTTGTGGTAGCCGTAATCACGGCACGGACTTGGCTCAACGTCTGCCTCCGGCAACAAGAAGGCGATATGATCACGCTTGCTGCTGAATGGGTGCATTGAATCCGTGGATTCTTCGATGTATTGTCCTAAAGCAAAATCAGTAATCGCCAGCAAAGAACAAACCAATGAATCCAGTGATGTTGCTCAACAGCGAGAAACTGTTCAAATATCCGGCAGTGTGCAGCTGGTCCATTTCCAAGTTGGTGAAGGCTCCCGAAGCACGAAGTAAGTCGTCAAACAGGACCGCGATCGCTCCTTCAAGATTCAGCAAGAGGTTTGGCATCTAAAGTGACGGTTATCCCCCGATACACGGAAATTAAACTCACGATTTTCGACGTGATGTCAGCGATCTGTTTCGCAAAATCATAGAGTGGCGTTTCTTTGATGACCTTGGAATCTTTCAGCTCGGTTACGAACTGTTGCAGCAGATCAGACCGCGGGTCCGGGAAGGTGGCCTTAGCATGATAGCCAATGCCGCGAAGGCGCTTCCCTTTCATAGATATCACCACCTCTCTCGGAGCCAGCCACTTGTTGCGGGCTTCACGGAATTCTCGCAAGGTTTGCTCGAGATTCACCTCGTTGCTCTGAAAAAATAAACTAGCTAGACCGATAAATCAATACCGTAGCCAGCATCCCCGATACAAGCGAGGAGATTGGGTCGTTGCCAGATCGGGCACACACCACGGTGTTGTTAGAGGTCGTAGTCCCAACATCCGAAAGAAGCAATAATGTCATTTCGAAGAACTGGTAGCAAAACGTCGGCAGCTCTCGCTTGAACCACAGCAGGGAAAGGCTACATCCCAGCGAGTACGCCTAAAATCGTTCACAAAAAAAGAAAAATAACAACCTGAGAGAAGGACTGCGAAACGTCATGTCCTGCATATGTGTGCTGCCCATTGCGCGCAGGCGAGACCAACGAATCGTATGAAAAGACCGGTGGTCTGATCACCTCTCGTGCCCACTCTTCACCAAGGGCCGTAGGATGAGACAGTGTAGCCGCCTGACCATCGATGTCTTTCTTCACCAAATGCTGGTCTACTTCCTTCAACACGTTCTCTAAAAGGAAATAAACCTCAGAGAATATCTCTTACCTAAGTCAGCATAGCCATCGGGCACGCGAGCACCGGCCGCATTCAAAGCTTTGTTCTTTTCCACGGCTTTTGTAGCTGAGGGGCTCTACAATATTCCAACTTTCTCGCAAAGGAAAACTTTTACCGAGAGCATAGTGGGCATGGCACCGGGTTCGATACAGAGTGCAATGAGAGGCTTTGACAATTTGCCATCCTTGAGAGCCTCGACGACCTCATATTCATCGTTGCCCTCGGCCGTCCCGATCATCACAACGAATTTTACCCTAAAGAATTCGGGACCATTCGACAAGAATTACCTCGGATCTTTATCGAACACAGAGATCTGCTTGAGAAGACCCGTGCCATGGAAACGGCCCATTCCGATGTCGACAGCACCACACAGGCCAAACGTGTTCTCGCTAAAAAAAACTTATTAACTGAACTAGCCAATTACCTGATGGTTCTATACACATCGACCAGCAATCCATTCCACCGGCCGCCAATCTTCGTGACTACGGCGACGTTTCCATTGGTTCGAAGCAGAGGTACAAACGGCTTGCTTGAGGTGTTGTTGCAAATCAGGGTCGGGCCCTCGAACAGACCGCCAGCACTGGATGGCCCGATGACGGGACACTAAACATAATGCAACGATTGGCGCGTGTGTTACCTCGTATTTCTCAGCCATAAGGGTGAATTCGCGCAACTGGCGCAGCGAAATGTTTCCGCCCATCAGAACGACACTTTTGAGGCGATGCTCCATGAGCGGCGTTTTCAACAAGGCGAATACAGAATCTCCATTGATGTAAGAAACCTAAAAAAAACCCCAAATTAATATCAAGGATGAGACAAACGATCGTGCAAGTCCGGTCATTGCGCTGCGCATCACGGAAATCCGGATAAGTGGGGACGTGGATGAGACGGCTACCAAGGTAGAACTTTGAATAAGTGGTTCCACGATTGAGGGGATTCACACAGGCATGGACTGTTGGAACGACCCGGTGAAGCGAGTGATCGAAATCGAACATTGCCTATTAAGAGTATAAACGAAACGCAAAACCGCATATACCTGAACGGCCTGGGAATTATGGCCAAGGATGATGACGGAACCGGAAACGTCTTCTTGCACAGTCAACTCAGATTGTTCTGGGATTGGGCGACCGCTGGAGGCGAGCGAAATCGCTGATGAGCGCACGCCAGAATCGGTGCACGACAGCGCTTGATCAGAGCCATATGTGTTGTCAGTGCTGGATTGGGCAGACGCGTCGCTATTTGAGGCCATACCCTACAAAACAGTTGCCGAACGATCTCGTCGCTTACCGTGAGCAGGAACGATTCAGTACGGTCCGCATCTGACTGCTCAACGGGATGTGATTCATCAGCTGCCGATTTCCCAAGGGCCTCAGTCACAAACTTCTGGATAGTAGCAGCCGAATCAAAGAACGAAAACCGCGCTCCAAGTCGTTCGGTCAGGTTCTGCAGCTCCGTTACGGATCGTTCACCACAGCCCAAGTCACGAGAGTGGATGCAGACATGCAACAGTTCCCAAGGGAAAGCGCTTTGTCTGACCGACATCATTGCGCGAGTCATCACCTAATTTCGGGGTTTAATAAAGCCATGATAACCACTCACCTCGACGCCATGGCTACGATCGAACTGGGCGCTGACCAGCAGCAAACGCTTTTGCTTGCCCTCCCCGTCGCCAATAAATTTGAGCAGTCTCTTGGCGTAGAGAAGTTGCTGTGCATACGGAAGGGAGGAAGAACAGAATCCAGCATTTGCCACAGTCAGGAGCTCGGGCAGGGGCGCATCGAAAGCAGGCGCCTCGTCTGAGCCGGCAAACTTGATCTTTGGTGCCGACGTTTTCGAAGTTTGTAGAGAGTTGATGGTGTCGCTGCATTGACAATAAATTTGAAAACTAAAACCCACAGACAACAAGAGAGCACGTCAGCATCATCAACCATCGTCCAAACATTGTTGTGCATGTAATCGGTCGACAGATGAAGGAACGACTTCATCGGGGAATGGAGTTTTGTGTAGGTGCGCCAGGTTTCGTTGTTTTGACAAGCTAGCGAATCCAAGTCGACGGGATCGACACCGTCACGAGACTTCCAGGTCGAAAGGTCCGCAGTGGCAGTACGGTCGATCTCCGCGTGGACGCCCTGCACATCGAGAAGGCCGGCCACAAATGCTACAAAAAAGATAGCTAAAACTACGAATTCATACCGATCCTCGCAATTTCCAAAGTGACGAATTGTTTCTCGATGAAAAAATCATAGAGATCGCAGACAAATTGTGCAAGCGCAACGCCAACTTCGGTAGAATCTTCCCCGATCCATTTCACGAGTTGATCGCAGAAAGTCGCCGGGTCCCAAGCTCCGTGAGTTATCTGAAGCAGATGAACTGGGGAAAATGAAAAGCCATACGAACCTTAGTATCAAACAAACGTCCATGCCTAGTAATCTCAATGTAATCGTCGTGCATCTCGCTTCGCATGGATAGGTGCAAGAAGGTTGCCTTGCCATGGTCTAGACAGGGACGCATAAGCAGGTGATGCGACTCCAGCAACCTTGATCGATCATCAGGCTAAAAAAACAGTTATTGACTTATACGTCGTCAAAAACCTCTTCCGATCCTTGAAATTGCAAATTTTTGCCAGCTTGCATGGTCGCGGTTGGCGGCGCAAGCATTTTCAGGACCTCTTCCGACGTACCGATGATGTCCGCCACCTTTTGATCGCAGGGGCAATCGCAGTGGATACGGAACAACTAAAAAAATGATCGTGAAGCAACCAAGCTACCTTGAAGCCTCGGCACTCATCCAAAGCCGCGAATTGCTTGAATCGTGGGGCAGAGCCAACCCCGGGAACCAAACAGAGAGTGGGCGGCTTCACGAGTGCGGCGTCTTGCAAGTCTTCGAACCAGCCGTTGAGCAGCTCCTGGACGCTTGCCTCGGTCAGGCGCATCACAGACATACCGCTCTGCAACAAAGTCACCAAAAATTACCGTCATAGGGTTTCCAGCCAAACGAGCCTCGACTAAGAGTCATCGCAAAGTTTCGGAGCATTAGAAATATTTCACGCCTCGAACGGTTTGATAATATAGCATCTTTTTCGGACAAGTGCATCGTTTATCATCATCAGGGAAATCACATGCACGCGGATACAAAAAGATTCACACACAGAATCAAAGTCGAAAAGTAGCAATCACAGTATTAAACCGGAATGCACAGATTCACATAGGATCACAAATCATGTTAAGTTAAGTCTTACGATAAGCGAAAGAGCAGAGTGGCTAGGATCCAGTTGTTAGTCGCAAAATCATCCGGTCAATTCCGCGCGCACAAGAGCCATCCTCAAGGAGGCCAGAACATCACGCAGTTCGGTGTCGTTGATCTGCACTCCTTCATCCGCGTAGTACTTCGCAATCTAGGTAACAAATATGGATATCAGAGAAAAATACGTTGGAAACGATGGCCTTAGGGCAAGCTTGCAGCCACTCCACGAGCGCGATCGCAACCGGCAGATGCTCAGATTCGACGTGATGAAGATGCAGCAAAACAGAAGGCTGAAAATTAACAAAAATTCAACGATTATATAGAAAATCATACCTCTGCAGAGGCAATGATTCCGCGTTGGTGGAGCATCTCGAATGCCACACGGGCGACAGCGGCCGCGAGGAGAGATGGTTGCTGCTTGGCAGTCGTGAAGTGCGCCATAGCCAAGCATCCCAGTGCTTTCATCAAGGTCCAAGCGCCTTGGAGATTCTTTTCGGCCATCAGATCATGCGTCATGAACTAACAAAAAAAAAGTCTGAACCGGGGGGAGGGGGAGATTCACCTGGAAAATACGCAAGAAGTGCAGGCAGTGGGTGTGGCTGATGTTGAACTTGAACAGGCGCAAGTGCTCCCTTTCCCACATGCGGATCTTGTTGGTGTCGTACCCATCGGCGAAATGGTGGGCCACGCCGCGCAGGTATTCACACTAAAAAAATCTACTTTATGTGCGAAGGGTTTTAAAAACCTTGGATCCAATGTCAACGGCGGCAATAACCATCGTGGCAATATCTTGATCACGGGCAGTATCAAGTGTCTTTTTATGGCTCTAAAAACAAAAATTCGTATAAAAAAGTAATTTACCTGAATGGTATTATCGATGATATGCACGGCCAAGAAGAAAGACTCGAGTGGCCTTCGGCGATTTGCAAACACGGAGAAGGCGTAGTCGATGATCAGGCTCCGCTTACGATCAGTGATTGGAAGGGCGAAGTGGGTAGTATTGACCTGAAAGAGATTACAAAAAAGCGAGACCGACGCACCTGGTGATTGAACACATAGTTGAGGTGGTCCATGTGGAAATCTTCTTCCCCTTCGTTGGGCGGCGGAAGTGTGACACCGCTCACGGGTCGGTAGATGATCGTCTAAACGAATTATTGAATCAGCAGCTGCCAAGAACACCTTTGCGGACGGGATTGGAGGTGCTTTCGTGAACGGCGGCGTCTCTTTGGAGTTGTTGGTGATTTCTTGGAGACGGCGTCCGAGCGCTACGAAGTCGAACATGCTCTAAAGATCTGATGTAAAAAGAAAGTATGTCCGGCATCAAGACGAATGAGGAATCATGATAACGTTTGCTACCTGGCCAAAGCTTTCGGAACCTCAAAAATTGCATTAGATTTACAGGAGCCGACCTTTCAGACGATCACAATCTTGATCGGACGCTATACGAAAATAGCATACCGCTCTTTTAGTGTTATTTAAGGATCGTCAATAATCTAGACAAAAAAATGGTGGTTTGGGAGGGGGGCAAAGAAAAACATATGCATCAACGAAAAAAGAAGTTGGTCGATGAAGACTAGACTTAGATAATCCGACACAGCGACCGCGTAAAAATCGAAAACTGGCAGAATTCTGCTGCTAGGCTTGGTTACCGTATGTTTCCACAGGACAACAATGACGGCAGGTCGCTTTCTAGAATCTCTCGCCGCAGCTGGACTACGGTGTAAAGCTACGATTTCCAGGGTGGATGCACATCCAGTTCGACAAGCTTCTTCGCTCGCCATCAATTTTGTTGCGTTTATTGCGCTAATTCCACGTTTGTAGAAGGGCGAAAAAAGTGCCTTTATACGTTCAAGGTCATGTTGGCGTAAAAATCCCTCGATACGGTTTGGTTCAGCATTTGTTTTCAGGCCTTTCTGATCAGCAGGTAGACGCCTTCGGTTCACCGCCTGAAGACAAGCCAGCTTCCACCCAGCAATACATCCCCAACAACATCCAACATTGAACACGCGATGCCACGATGATATCGAATGCATGCAAGTGCGGAAAGCGGACAGAAACATCAAAATCCATTTATTAAAATCGTTTGAAAAAGTGGCGAGAAAAACATGGTCCAATGAGACGAGTTAAGTTAGTTTCATCTTATGTTCTCGATTCTTGTCATCCACGGCTCCAACGAATTTGGGGAACAGTTTAAAGTTGTAGCGGGTTCGTCTCAAAATCTTCGACGGGGAACGGGTTGTCGGGATCGCCGTACTTGGCCTAGATGACTTTTCGATTATATTATTTTCAGAACTTACAAGCGGCAGGGGCTCATTCGGGCCGGGGCTGAACTCGGAAGGCTTGTCGGCTGGCTCGACCATCGTGCTCTTGCCTTCCGCCGCAACATTCTCACGGCTGCCGATCTAGAATCGTTATTTCTTCGAAATTTAGGTATTTTCAGTTTACTTTCTCGTGAGAGGGTGCGGTGTGGGCGGTCTGCAAATCCTCGCTAGATCCTCGAAAAGCATCAAAGCTGCGACTCGGACGCACGGCCACCCTTTCCCAGTCGTACTGGTCGGTGTACTAGAAGAATATGGGTTAGTTGGAGTGTAATACCTTGAAGCCCCCATCATTCATCACATCAGCCAGCGTTTCGTACAGCTTTCGGTAGTTTGGGCGCGTGTAGTAGTTGAGCTCGCTAAGTTATAATGAGTTGTTCCAGGATCGTTCTCGGTTACCGAAGGTGCTCGGCATACTCGAGGAGTTGCACGGGACAGTTGTATAAGAGCATTTTGTCGGCGGTCGACCGTTTCACCTCGGCCACTTCTTTCTTGTCACTAAATGACGTCTTATGGCAGAATTCAAGGACAAACCTGCAATTCTGCCATGGCAAAGGGCCCCTCATTTCGGCCATTAGGTAAAGCAGGGACCAAAGGTCATCGACCCTAGACTGCTCGCCCTTGTCGTGCGTGTTCAAAGAACAGTACCGCGTCGTCCCTCTAAAACAGGGTTTCGTCGACTGTCTTCAGCCACCTGAAGAGACACTTGCTTCGCGGGCGCCGTAATCCGTATTTCCCTGGCTCAACCATCTGAGCATATTCACGGGAAAGCCCGAAATCGAGCACGTGCACGAAATGGGCTGGCTAAATGTTAGAAGTATTGTTTAGCCAGGTGTAATAGCACTTACCCAAGTGTTCGGCGGGCCGATGGCAAGGTTCGCCGGTTTCAGATCACGATGGACGAAGCCGATCTAAATATCCATTTTTGCTGAGACTTCAGTTAGAATCCTAGCGGATCACCCCATTTTTTTCAGGCTTACATCATGCAACTGCTTCAACCCGTACAAGATGTTGATCCCAGTGCGCACCTGGCTGGAGACGGTCAACTGACGATTGGGGCATTTGCTGAAGGAAGATGAAAAACGCTTAGAGACATACCGGATGATATTTTGCAAAGATTCTCCGAGCAGCGTCATCACCATGTATGAGTAGGTCTCCCGTTTGCCCGAGTGCAACAGCTGGCAGACGTGTGCTTTGCCTTCCAGTCGCTTCAGAACCATCACTTCAATCTTCAACACACTGCCACCAGGTACGTTGTTCGATTCGACTTTCAGGGCCGCCTCAATCTTGGTCTGTGTGTCCATCACCTACAAACAAGGTTTTCGGCTGTTGTAGGATGCTAACACGCCGAGATTGGTTTGAGTTTCTGCTGTTAAAAAATTACCCTGTAGACGGCTCCACAACCGCCCTCGCCAATCTTCTTCACGACCTTCCAGCGCTTGCCGAGTATCTTCCCAGGCCGAAAAACCGGCGGCGCCGCGTCACGATCATCTCGAGGCATCCCGCCGGATGAAAAATACAAATGTTTGGATTTTTGTGTTCAGAATATTTATAGGTTGAATCATATTCGTGAGCGTTTATGCGCTGCTGGGATGCAGATATCGATGTGAATTGACGATTGACTTTTCCACTGGCTTTCTTCCATTTTCCTCTGACGAAATTTTTGTTCGAGTACTCCAGTTTCGCTATGGAACCAATGATTTGGCCGAAATCGCTATTTTTGGATCGCATTTTTTCTTCTTTTTTTTTTACAGTTTTTAGTTAGTCGTCATTGTCTCCTAGCATAACTGCCGGGCTTCACAATAAGCAACGAAACCTAAGCGACAGCCGTGCTTTTGTGCTGCTCTACTTGCATTGGTCAATTTAGGCAAACAGTCGGGCTCTGTGGGGGAGTGCGCGACGAAGCGCTAGTGACACGTCGGCCCTATAGGACTCTCGGGCCGTTGACCACACAACTCCTCAACCCCCCAGTCGGTACCTTCCCCCGAGGGCCCAGCCTAAGTAAATGTCTATCGCTATTGATTAGGCCGCTCGTTGTGAAGAATCAGAACTTTGTAGAGTAAGCGCTGACCATGCCAGTTCCCATGAGCGGGCAATCGCTCTTTCTTGGTCTGAGATCCCGTTCCGGCTCCTCCCCTTTCCCACATCCTCTCGTCTTTCGGCCTAAACTGTCGTCATCGTTTCACTCTCTCCTTGCTTCTTCCGCTTTCCTATACTAAAACTATATTTTCAGAAGATGCGGCTGGCCGTCGCCATCTTGCCACTCACCCTCTTTTTCAGTGGGCTACTATGCAGCGGTGCGTTTTTGGCACAAAGGCCCCCCAAATTCATCGCGTAATCGGGCTACAATCTTTTTTCAGCCGACTACTATGAAATATTGGGCGTCGCCAAGGATGCCGATGATCGGACGATTCGAAAAGCTTTCAAGAAATTGGCTATCCAGAAGCATCCGGACAAGAACAAGGTCTGTGGCGTCCGTCCCTACATTAATGATAATTAGGACAACCCGGAAGCGCACGCAGAATTCTTGAAAATCAACAGGGCATACGAAGTGTTGAAAGACGAGGAACTGAGGTGATTTTTCTGCTTCTTTTTGCATGTTTTTAGGAAAAAGTTTGATCAATATGGTGAAAAGGGTCTGGCGGATGACTTCAACCCGAACCAGAACTTCCAGAGTTGGCAATTCTACAATGATAATTTTGGTTTGTTGTTTTATTTCAATAGAAAAAAGGGGCCAATCTAGGAATCTACGATGACGATGTCGAGATTGTGACCCTCAACCGGGCGGATTTCAACAGGGTTGTACAAGGTGTGAATTCTATCGGGCTAATTAGCGTTTCTTTTATAGGCACCGGCGAGATTTGGTTCATCAATTTCTACTCCACCTTCTGCTCACATTGCCACCAGCTTGCGCCAACAGTAATATTATTTTTCTTTATTTAGAATTAAACTCGCCGTTTAGTGGCGCAAATTTGCCGCGGCCATGGATGGTGTGATACGCGTGGGTGCGGTCAACTGCGCCGAAGATCCGGGACTCTGTCAAAGCCAACACGTTCACGGATATCCCAGCCTCGTTTGGTACCCAGAGGTATCCTGAACTCTACTTTTTAGGTTAGCAATATTTTAGGGCACTTTCTACCAAGGCCCGCGTGATCTGGAACTTCTTGTCGAATTCGTCATGACGCGTCTTCCTGACTTTGTAATCACCTTTGCAAGTAAATCTATTTTGTTTAGGTGATCCCAGTCACTCATGAGAATTATCTGACGTTATCCCGAGATGAAGCCGAGACCGCCGGCAGACCTTGGATTATTGATTTTTGCGACGACTCTGACAGATGCCTGACACCGGAAAATCGGTGGGAATTTGATCAAAACTTCATAAACTTTTATTTCCAGCCGCAAACTGGCGTCGATGTTATATGGCCTGGTGAATGTGGGAACTGTCGATTGTCACTACGGCACGACAAAAGACAAGCTGTGCGAGAAATTTGACCGCACAGACGGCGTGCTCTGGTTTGATGCTGCTGCCATTTCCGCCGAATCTGCAACGGTACGATGGGGATGAATTTTTGAACGTTTGATCGTTTAGGTGCTTGAATCTCTGGATCCGAAAGAATTAGCTTCTACTGCTATCAAAAATATGGATGGGCTGCCGGAGTTTGACGAGGATGACCTCAAATCTCTTTTTGATCGTCATATTGGGGCGACGGAGGACACAGTTGTCTGGTAAGAGTGCGCTCTCGAAAGGAATAAAGTTTTTCAGGTTCGTGAAGGACCAGTCAACGGTGGAGGAAAACAAGGAAATGGTCCGCCTGCGATCAGCTTTCTCAGGAATGAAAATCGGCTTCTTCGACTGTTCGAGGGCTGAGTTATGCGCCGAACATCTTGATGTTCAAAAACAGCTTCCGACCACAATTCTCTTCAAGGCAAACGGAGGCTATGAGATTAACTATGGTTCGTTGGAGCTAATTGGGTGCTTTCGCATTATCAGAGGAGGGGGTTTCCTATAAACCCATTATGCTTGACAAGTCTTTTCATGATTCGTGATTTAATTATAACTATATTTCAAGCGCAAAATTTTACTAAACAACAATTTCAGAATTTTAATTTCTAGCAAAATGGCTATTTTAGATAACTTTTTAAAAATTGTATGTTTAAGAATAACAAAAAAACGCCATGTAGGAAGACTTTTTCGATTCATCTGATAATTGGCTTTTACGGAAAAAAAAATTGTGCCTATCGAAATACACGTTCACATTTGATTTTAGCGACCTCGAAAACAAGCTGGCGTGATCAAGCCCTCTTCATCCGCGAGTCGTTGAAGACCCCGATGAAGGTGTTGACCCCCGAAATGCATGACGAAGCGGTCGAGAGCGGCGATTTGTGGCTTATCGACTACTTCGCACCCTGGTGCCCGCCCTGTATGAAGCTGATGTCTGAACTGCGTCAAGTGCACGAACAGCTGGATGAAGAGTCGCAGAAGCTCTCGATTGGAACCGTTGACTGCACTAGACACGTGCAACTCTGCCAAAAAGTCGGTGTCTCCAGCTATCCGCAGAAGAAGCTTTACTACAACGGGAAGACCTTCCAGTCTGTCGGCTACAGTTCTGCGCAAGAAGTCATCGATTTTATGGAGGTAAGGTACATTCGCGGTTGATTGTATGTTTTTTTAGGATTCGCTCAACCCGTCGGTCGTCGAACTGACGCCGGAGAAGTTCAAGGCCGAGGTTTTGAACAAGGATGCTGAAATCACTTGGGTTGTCGACTTCTTTGCCCCATGGTGCGGCCCTTGTCAGCAAGTATTTAATAATTTTGGTTTACCCCAATTACCTTCCATAGCTCGCACCGGAGTTCAACAGGGCGGCTCGAATGCTGCGTGATCATGATTCGGAGAATGTCAAATACGGATCCATCGATTGTCAGGTTCTCTGGGATTTATTTCTTCTTATTTTCTTTTCAGGCCCATCGGACCCTTTGCGACAACGAGAAGGTTACCGGATACCCAACCGTTCGTCTCTTCCCGGCCTCCAGTGTGCAGAAGCAGCGCAAGCTCGGGAAAAATCTGTAACTCACTTCTGCGTCTCTTACGGCTTCTCTTTCAGAAATTATCCCCAAAACATGTGGCGGAACGCGGATTCGATTTCCCAATGGACGATGGGATACCTTCCTTCGCTAGTCGTCCCAATGGGCAACGAATTTTTCACGGAGGTTTGCAGGAAGTTACTTTGAGATTGTATTGTTTTTTTTAGGTTTTGGATGCGAAGACTCCATATCTAGTCGATTTCTATGCGCCTTGGTGTGGGCCTTGTATGCGATTTGTTCCGGTATTTGATCAGATTGCCAAGGTTGTGAAAATAATAAGACTCCTACTTTAACTTTATTTTTAGGCGTTGGAAGGGCGTGTTCAGTTGGTGAAAGTCGATTGTGATCAATGGCCCGGTGTTTGTCAAGGAGCCGGGGTAAGTTTCTAGAATTTTATTTTTGGAAACCCTGATTAAAATTCAAGTTTTTAAAAAAATTTGTAGCGTAAAAATATTTTTCCAGATCCAAGCCTACCCGTCAATTCGTCTGTACCGCGGAGCAAAGAATGGACGACGTCAAGACGGCTGGGGCATCTCCATCCAATCGCAAATGAAGAACGATATCATCCAGGTGGTCAACAGCTACCTGGGCCCGGTGAAGGACGAGCTTTGAGCCAGGGAATCCATTGTTTTTGTTGTTATCCCGTTTGTTTTGAGTGCTACTCGGCATTTTCGAATTTCCTCAAATTCACTTACTCCTTGCTAGGGTGACAATGCCGCACACTATTCTGATTGATTACTGGTACGAAGTGCACTATTCTTTTGTGTGACCCGCCTTGCATAATTTTCTTTTTGTGATCCCCCGTTCTGTGCATAATGTGATTCTTTGACACCAAAGCCTTTGGGAATAAATTTTTTTGGAAATCTGCTTGTAACAGGAGAGGCACAAATACTTTTGGTCGAACCATCGATCCCGTGAAACAATTTCGACATCTGAGTTTTCTACTTATACAAAGTATTAGTTTTTATATGGCACCAAAGCGTTTAAAATGGGTACTGCAAGAACTGGAAGGTTTCGAGAACCCTCAGATTCAGCTCGAACAATATGCGACGTCACCGGAATTGGCAGGTTGGCCAATGTTTTTTATAAAAGTTTATTTCTTTTTTCAGAATGCCTGGTAGAATGCGTCTCAAATACTGTCGGCGGGCTCGAGGGCAAATCAGTATTGGACCTGGGATGTGGATGCGGAATGCTGACTGTGGCCATGGCAGCTAGTGGCGATCCCGATTATTGTCTAGGTGTGAAGCCCTAGTTGATTTTTAGTATTTTAGGCGTTGACATCGATCCCGAGGCCCTACGGACATGCCAGGAAAATTTGGCGGGTGCTGAAGTTTCGAGCAGGTAACCAAAAATGGTATAAATGTTTTGATGCCTTAAATCCTAGATGTGACCTTATTCAAGCGGACGCGCTTCAACTCCCATCTTTGTTAGCATCAACATCGCGCTTTGACATCGTCGTGATGAATCCGCCTTTTGGGACGAAAAATAATGCAGGTACTCTGGCTTTAGCTACCTGTGATTTTCCGGATTTAGGGCTAGACATGAAGTTTCTACAAAGCGGCTTGGCGTTACTCCGTCCGGGCGGCCACGCATTCTCCCTGCACAAATCCAGCACACGCAAATTTGTGTTAAAAACGGCGGGCGGATGGGAAGATGTTGAAACGGTAAGACTCGATATGTTACTTAAATATTTTTAGGCGGATTGTCTGGCCGAGATGCTGTGGGAACTTCCCGCGACGTACAAATTTCACAGGAAGAAATCTGTAGATATCAATGTTGATGTGATACATTGCGTGAAAAGGTGACCCCTGTGATTGTAGTGTTTTGCCTGATAATTCTTGTCATTTTTGATATTTTGTAAATTTTTATGCTCAGCGAAGACGGGGGTTGATATCATTCAAGGGGACAGTGAGGATCATCACCTAACAAGAATATAAATGCGTGATTCCGACTGGGGTCACCGGAGATCAATATACTCGGGGGAGGAGGAATATGTACATACACTGTAATCGTAGATACACGACAATCATGGTGATCAAAGGGCCTGGTTCGTTAGCGGGGGGGGGCCGAACTTTTCTCTATTATTCTGTAGGCGCTTGGTAATGAAATTAAACCTTTTTAATCATATTTTAACACCTTTTTAGATATCACGGCTTCATACAAATGTTATAATTCGCGAAAAATGTACTTTCTGGTAAAATATTACATCAAAAATTTGTCAGAAATTAAGTTTTTTTTTAAATTTTAAAACTTTCTAGTGTTTAGCCATACTTTTATTGATCGGAAACTACGAAAAACTATAAAAAAAGCTCATGTTTTATTAATGCAAAATTACTCAAGAGAGGAAGCCGTCCCCCACGAAGAATCCCCCCGCACACACGCTAATCAACCAGAACCTGGTAGTAAAAAGAAATTGCGCGGCACCTATTTCCGATCCCAGAACGATTCCAAAATCTCCGCGTGCTTCTCAGGCGCGATCCGGAACTCGACACGACCAGGCGTCTCACGCTCGCTGCATTTTCTGTTTTTACTTGAATTTAATGTCGTTTTCTTACCGAATCGACGGCGGATCGGGAGTCGGCTGTAAATGCCGACAATCATCATTTGAACGATAGGTGAACATTCTAAAATCAGTAATTTGACTCTTTGCCGACGTTTGTTGAGAAGGCGCGGGTATGGGTGGAGACTGGATGCCCTTGTAGCTGACTGGTTAGCGTCTCGCCTCCCGTCCACAGGGTGCAGGTTCGAGGCCCGCCCGCAGCACGGGGGTGCATATCCTAATCCTGTCCGACCCCGCTACGGGTCAGACCGGTTCGCTATATGCCAAATCAACTCCGTTGCTACCCATTCGTCAATTGGCCTGTCGTGCTGATCGTCGAAATATGTGGCGGAACATTTTTCGCCTTTTTACGATTTATGAATTCCTAGAAACTTAATAGTAAGCAATTTAAAAGAGTTTTTAGTAAAATGTAACCATATTCCAAGTGGAAATAGTGTCTAAAAATTTAGTAACTTTTGGCATTTTGGTCGAAAATCGGCCATTTTTTGTAGAAACACTAGCTCTTTTGTATTAAACAAATCTGATCCTAAGCAAAAAAAGCTAATTCCCCCTGATGATGCGAAAGCACCGAAAAACCGAATATTAGGGTTAATTTTCTGTCAACAATTGGCTAGACCGTCCCGGCTACGCGCAAAAGTACTCGCAAAAAGCATTTAAAGGGCCTGATAATATGGTTTTCACTAAAATAATAATTATTAAACTTCATAAATTACGTTTACTCGCATCATGTAATTTTTAGCGTTTCGGCATTTTTCTGTACCTACCCAGTGAAGCAGCAAATACGATCGAATATGTCGAGTGCTCGTTGCCGTAAATAGTAATGGTAGAAGATGCAGATCTGTAGTTTTTAGGCATTTTTTCAAAGTTAATATGCCTTACCAATGGATGTGCCAATGCGTGCATTGACGGGAACGCGAAAATGATTGTAGAGTAGTTGTAGGAAGCGACGGTAATGTTGGCAGAAGCCCTCAAATTTATATCGTTTTAGCTAAAGATTTCAACTACCCACCTCCAATCACGAACGGGAAACAGCAGCAGCAGATATGATAGATAGAGAATCGCGTGGAGCACCACTGATGGTAGCAGCATTTGAGTGGTGCGGAAGGTTTCGTGAATCTAAATAGGAGGTTTTTTATCGTAGAAAAAACCAACTCTCACCTGAAATCGTTTGCTGAGCGAATACTTGGCCGTGTTGATGCCGAGTCCGTCGGCCCGACTTCTGCTGTACACCATCACGTAACCGAACAATGATATGGTGGCGGCCTCGAACAGCGCGCAGACCGAGATGCGAATCATCATCGCGTGGCTGTCCGCCAGAGAGGCTCCATCACAAACACACATGCCTTCCGTGCTAAAATACGCCCATGCAGTCTGAAAATCTGACTTACTGTAAGTTTAATAGATACTCCAGCGTCAAGAAGCCGGCAGCCGTCCAGGCGAACACAAAGATCACCTAAAATTGGTGGATTCTTGACATTAATTCGTGGAGCGGACCTTTACGTAGATGGAGACCTTGGCCGGAGGTAGTGGATGTCGGGTGGCGGCAAAACGTTCGGCTCCTACACCAATCATCAACAACACTGTAGCAGCGTCCCATGGTACCATTAACACATTTGCCACCGTGCAGAGAAGGCTGGAAACGGTTTTTGTTATAGTATGAAAATTCAGGATTAGCATATTGTGATAGGCATTACTTTTTTGGTAAGAGTCTAGAAAACCCCCCACCCGGCACCAACTTTTGTATCTCGGCTCCCCTTTGTGCTAGCGTGCTCTAAAGTATACCAAAATGTTCGCCGTAGGCTAATTAGTAAGACTACATTGCAGTTCAGTCGAAAAAACTAGCGAAAAATAAAAATAAGGAAGGTAGAAAAGTTGAAAAGTCGGCTGGGGGGGGGGGTTTCCTAGACTTGAGCCACTTTTTTAATTGATTGGTATTACTACTTTGTTATTTGATAGTCCTTATGTCTTCCCTTTTTTGGTCATTTTTTATACGGTTTTGGCCAAAAACGGACGTTTTCTAGACTTGCTGATTAAGGAAAACCGGTTCGCGGCGCTCCTATGCGCGCGGAACTGCGGCACTTATTAATTCTGAACCTAAATAATAAAAACCAGGGTTGAAAAGCCGCTTCGCGACTTTTCAACCCTGCCCCCGTCTGATCGCATGATTTTCTTCACTTTGCGTAATTCTCGCGATTTTCGATGACAAAAAATGAGAAACGCTGCCTTTCTTTCCTTATATAGGAACCGCAAATTCCGGCGTATGCAAATTGTTTCCTAACAAAGAGAGTTCTCGATTTTTTAACAAAAACTTAATTTTAACGTCGAAAACACCGAATTTTCGAAAATTTCATTAGTGTGAAGTCATCCCAAGGCTATTACGCACCGAATGAGGTGTAAAACATACACCTAACTACTCCCCTTATTGAGATACTGCTGGAACACGCTGACGGAAGTTGCATACAAATGCACACACATACACACACAGACACTATTTTTTTATATATAGTAGGATACCTTTTCTCGGGATACATCGGGAATTGGTTGAGGCCCAGATAGAAGAAATAGGCGTTGTAGAGGAGGCCAGCGAACGCGTTGACGGCGAAGCACACCGAGATCGAGCACAACATCAACCGTGTCTGTCGGGGCATCACACCAGCTTTCTGAAATGGAGGGTCTTCTGACACTTGCTCTCTCTCTCTCTCTCTCTCTCTCTCTCTCCCCCCCCCCCCCCCCCCCCCCCCCCCCCCCCCTCTCTCTCTCCCTCTCTCTCTCGGTCACTCGCTATTATTTCTTAGCTTTTAAAAACGAACAATCCGCATCGTTTCAAGAAACGAAGCCCACTACAAATTTCCCCCATTGCCCAATCCCCTTTTAGCCTCATCCGAATGCCCTGGTCACAATGGCAACAAAATTTGATTAACTTTCGGGGGTTCACGCGGCATGTTGGAAGCCCCGGGCCTGGGAATTAATTAGCGGAAAAGGGGGCCCGCAGCCACTCTTTGGATATGGAGTTGATCTTCGGCAATGAAGGCAAGGATCCACTTGCAAA